AAGCATTACTCAACAGTGCTGCATTTATGACAACAGATTTCCGTGGCTCGGCTACGCTGTGCCACTCCTCACCACCAGCAACGCCATAAACACTACTACAAGCTAAGAGAATCCATGAGCCGCCACTGCAGTTACCAACATGTATAGGTACTGGTCACTGCCCCTGGCCGCCCTCCTGTGTTTCCTGACGGTCAACATGGATCTTACTTCTGCTGTGTTACTTAAGGGTCCTCCTAGATTTGGGCCGTCTGCGTCTGCTGCTTCAAGAGTTAAACGAGGATTTCCAGGTCCTAGAGGCCCTCCTGGTGTGCCCGGCCCTCCTGGTGTACCCGGCCCTCCTGGTGTGCCCGGCCCTCCTGGTGTACCCGGCCCTCCCGGTGTGCCCGGCCCTCCTGGTGTGCTTGGCCCTCCCGGTGTGCCCGGTCCTCCTGGTGTGCCCGGCCCTCCAGGTGTGCCCGGCCCTCCTGGTGTGCCCGGCCCTCCAGGTGTGCCCGGCCCTCCTGGTGTGCCCGGCCCTCCCGGTGTGCCCGGCCCTCGTGGTGTGCCCGGCCCTCCTGGTGTGCCCAGCCTCCTGGTGTGCCCGGCCCTCCTGGTGTGCCCGGCCCTCCTGGTGTGCCCGGCCCTCCTGGTGTGCCCGGCCCTCCCGGTGTGCCCGGCCCTCCTGGTGTGTCCGGCCCTCCTGGTATGCCCGGCCCTCCTGGTGTGCCCGGCCCTCCTGGTATGCCCGGCCCTCCTGGTGTGTCCGGTTACGACTGGAGACAACCAGTGTCGCCAGAAATATGGTACCCAGCAATTGCAAGTTGCCTACCGTGCAGAAAGAAATGTTACAGATTAGTTGATTGCAATTGTGAACTAAATGAAAAGTGTGCCATTCGTTGGAGATTACGGACAATAGAAGTGCCATTGACTACACCTACCTGGCTGAGACCTACTACAATAATTGGGGGACCCAGACTATCTTGTCCCGGAGTATGTGAAATCCGAACACCGTCAGGAATCTGTGAGAGGGACTTTACGTGTAAGCACAATGACAGTCAAGTAAGGTCCACCACGCCCCTGTCAGAGCATCACACTCCACCTCCGACGCTCTCTACCCCTCCACCGGAGATGGTCGCTACCAACTCCGCAGCACTTCCTTCAGCACCTAGTCACAATCAGACACAACTCCTAGAAGGACGACAGATAGCAGAAAACAGCAGTAAGCTCTCCGACCCACGCTTCTGGCTCGTGGCTGCTCAAGTGTTTACGCTGTTGCTGACGTCCTCCCTGTGGTCTTAAGTTTGTTTTTCGGTCGGTGATAATTTTCAGCATGGAAAATGTGTTAAGAGGGACATGGAGGGTAAACACAGCTGATGAATTATATTGTATTTTAGTGCATCCAAAAATGTGAATTGAGATTTTTTTAAAAGAGTCGAAATACGCATTGTCAACAATGCAAATTGCCAATAAAACTTGAAAGGACAAGAAAATGTATAAAAACAAAGAGAAAATACAAATCCTTTACTGTTTTCAGATTCACTTTGTCACACCTCAACTGGGTATAGGAAAACATATAGTTAGGATGTCGTTAAGGGCAGCCAAATTCGGCGCTACCATGGTTGGCATTTTCATAGAGTAATTATTTAGCGAATCACACCCATACACTCATTTCTTCAACTTGGAAAATATTAATATCCGGAGCTTTACGGAATTCAAATAAGCCAGTTCGTGTGTGTGTGTTTATGTGCCTCAAATACAGTATACACTGACAGCACATATGATATACAGTATAACTCATGCCTGAATTAGTTTTATGTACGTGTACAATTTCAACATTATTGTAGACCATACTTATAAAATATATGTAAAAAAACACGATTTCCTGTTTTTATTATCCTGGATGATATAAGAATTTAAATAAAGAAGTAGAGAGAGAGCTTAAAATAACCTTTTTTAATAATATAATCAATTGACGATACACAGTTCACCGCACACCCAGCCACCGCCTCTTAACAAACTAGTGGACAATACATGACACTCGATCCAGCCATAGCGTAGTAATCAATCTCACTTTCGTTGGTGCTTCTTGCTGTACTGTATATACTGGAGTCTTGCCCAAGGTCGCCTCACAGGGTATACTTGATCTGTTTATGGATCCTTACCAATGTAAATGCAATGAGATGATAATGACGAGAGGAACAAGGGAGAGAATATGAAATTAGTATACGAGACTTGGGACGGATGGATCAATGGCGGCAAAGCTATACACAGTACACACACCGTTTTATGATACCTCCTGATGGTGGTGGTGCTCCCGTTCTAGCCTAACTGACCGACCTTCATAGCCTCGTCAACCCTCAGTGAAGTGGTTCCCATTCACTTTATGAGCGGTCGCACCCCTTCGCCATAAACTATACGTGTTGTAAGGTAAAGGCCATGCAGTACAGTGCCTAACCTATCACCGTGCCGCTACACCAGACAACCCGTGCATTTTTTTTAGTCTCGTATCCGCTGAGTATAATTTTTGACTCGAGTTTGTTACCGAGTAAAAATGGTTCACATCCACCCGAGGACAACCTCCAGGCGTGTGTGGCTGTCACTGACCTCAGGTGGAGCAGGTCGTCTCACTGCCATCACCAGCCACTGACGTCAGCTACAAAAAGTCGTCTCACTGTCACTACCATCAGCCTATCCTCGACCTCCTCGTGTTCGTCGTCATCTCAGCAACATACTCATGGTAAGTAACCAATAATTACACTGAACAGTGAACACTTTAGGTGAATAGACACAATAAGTTGGTGAGCAGAAAAACAGACGCCCAGTTGGAAACGTAAGTAGATTGTGTGTGTGTGTGTGTGTGTAAGTCTTTCCAAATGAAGAAAGAAAACTACAATATTTGATAAGGGTAACCAATGATTTTGAATGCTAGGTACGTAAATACCAAAAAATCACACTGGTATCTTGAGTGTCATAAACCTGCAGAATAGACGAGTAATGTGATCTTTGCCTCACTCCGCCACTTGTGATAGCACAGTATATCTTGGCCATCTAAAGACCGGCCCCCTGCAGCTTGTGAAACCCTTTCATGTCACCAGCAGGAGCTTGGTGGTTCCCGTAGCCTGTGAAGGTCAAGGACTCAGTAGGATCTTGGTGGCCACTGTGGCGAACCCGTGATCAGTTGTATAGTAGTGTGGCTGGCAGGGATTCTGTACAACGATGTTATTAATTATACAGTGGGACCTCTATTTAACGGATTATATGGAGAGAAAAGCCATTATATCGAGGGTCCATTAGATGTGAAACTTCCATCTAACAAACTTCATAGAGATGAAAGCCCATTACACCGAGGGTCCGTCAGATGTGAACCCTCCACTATTTAACGGGTTCTATGGAGAGAGAAGTCCGTTATATGGAAGTTCACTTATGTTAATTTGTAGCAATTTATACGTCCGTTGTAATGAGTTTTACCTTCTTCTTAGTGTCATGGAAGTAATACCCATTTAGCGCGTATCAAAGCCACACCCCGCCGTTACTGTAGTTAGACACTGCAACTCCGTCGAGGGGCCTCATGCGTGATAAGGTTGTCTTGTCACGCCTTAGCTGAATCGCAAGTTGACCCGAAGAGCTACTGACGCGGCACCAGGTTCCTGAAGTAGCACTTCCAACAAAAGAAACTGTTAGGTATAAAATTAAAACTCCACTCCAAAGATCGTGAAATCGCGGGACAAGTTTATTGCCTGATTCACTTTCACCATTGGTCTACATATTGTTGTTCTTCACGAGGACAGAGACCCGCCCACCAGGGCACCAACGTCACACATTCCCGCCAATTGTGAAATATATGAGTGAGAGGAAGCCGTGTAACTTGATATAAGTCTCCTGTATATAAGTGAAACCTCTATTTAACGGACTATGTTAAATGGAAATTCCGGTATATCGAGGGTCTGTTAGATGTGAAAACATCCACCTGACGAACTATATACAGTAGATATGAAAGTGCGTTATAACGAGGGTCCGTTATAGATGAAGCCTTCCTCTAAAGGATTATATGGAAGAGAGAAGTCCGTTACATGGAGATTTCACTGTTTTATAATAAGTATTGTATGTATCATCCTTACACTATCACCCCACGACCACATACACCAGAGACAGAGAGGAGGAAGTTTGCAGTTATGTACAGTATGAAACAATGTGTCGTGCATGAGACAAATTCCTATACGAGTTGATGGTGAAACAGGTTAATTTTTTTTCCCTAAAATCAAGTGATAGTCTGGAGGTGCAAAAACTATAAAGTAGCCAGAGTAGCCGTAGGACTTGTGTTAATAAGGACATTACCTGGGCCTGCCTCTGTACTCACGCAGGGGGACAAGTTGGATGCCCAGGTAGGTGTTAATCAATTGTTGGGGTGACACAAGCATCATTACATATGTTTAAGTGATAACAAAGTAAAGTACAGGGTAGTTTGATTTATTTTACCTCAATCGTGTAGTTAGAATATTTTTCCCTTTACTGGAATGGACACGCATAAATCGTCACGAGCGCTGGAATCTGTTTACTCTCATGCGCTAATAACGAATATTTCCGATTAAATTAATGGAAAAGGATTTGAAAACTTAACGTATGATACCATTCACGGAAGTTAAAAAAGACTAATTCAATATAATCTAAAAAAAAGGTCTAAATAGTAGGAATTGTGATTTTTTAAAGTATTTTGTCTTGGTATATTTCCGATGACGAATATTTAAAGAAAAAATACCTATTCATCGTATTAGCCTTGAGACCATGACAACCAGTTCAAATTCGTTTATATTTATGTGAACAGACTAAATTGTTAACTCTAGATTATATATTCATATTTGGTATATCACAACAGAGCAGCTGTGTTGTATGTGTGCTTGCAAAGGGGGGTGATGGGGGGGGGGGTGGCAGTTATGACCTTGTGAGGCAGTGAGTGGATAGGTGGGCAGACAGGGTCAAGGTGCCACCTGCTAGTATATAATGGTGGTGCCTTCCAGCCAACACCACACTCACCTCACACCTACACCATGAAGCTGGTAAGCAGCCAAACCTCACACACAAGAGTACTCTTCTACTAAAGTCTTTCCCTGATATGAATTTCACAATTGTCTAACAGTGAACACATCACAACAAACTGTCTTGGTAAATGTTAATATACTGTTGATGCTTAACTTTGGAAATATTTTAATGTATCACTCAATTTTCCGGTAGATCGTTCTCACCTGCGTGGCCGCTGTGGCCCTGGCCTCACCTGTCTATGATCAACACTCAGCAGAGACGCCCAAAATTCTGGTTGACGAACGCCACATAGCCGACGACGCCTCCTACTACAACTTCCAGGTGGAGACTGAGGACGGCATCACTCGCCAGGAGTCAGGTGCTACCATCAAGGAAGGCTCTGCTGAAGGCGCTGTCGCTCAGAGCGGATCAGTCTCGTAAGTATTGAAGTTTGTTAGTGTACTTTGTGTCGACAAAACCACATTAGTGTGAACAAGTGGCACCGCCCCAGCCCTTCTTCTCACTACCCGTGTCTCTCGCAGCTTCACCCTCCCCGACGGACAGCAGTTCGAGATGACCTTCGTGGCTGACGAGAACGGCTTCCAGCCCCAGTCCAGCTTCCTGCCGGTGGCACCTGAGTTCCCTCACGAGATCCCCCAGTTCGTGCTCGACCAGATCGAGAAGGCGCGACTTGAGGACGAAGCTGGGTCCCGCGAGGGTCCCTCCTCCAGATACGGCGCCCCATAAGTCTCCTCACTCTGCTCTCCTTCTTGCTCCTTCACCCCCATGTTGTCCAGCAGCGGCCTGAACTTGATCATAATGATTGACGTCATCCTTGTACGTCTTTTTTTTGTGTTATATTAAGGTCACAATGCGACCTGTAATGCATACAGTATTCAAATATATTTTTCATCCACTTAAAAAAAACCATTCATCCTCCTTATACTTTCGCCACCATATGAAATAAAAGTTGCAGTTTTTCTGCGTGAGCCACCGCTCATCAAACTCCATATACCTGCACATGAGCTCAAACAGCTTATCATAGGGAAAGTGCATAATGCTCTCTACTCATCCTTGAATGGTGGCTAAAAATAAATACTCGTCATTACATACTGCAAAGCGCCTTTATTATACCATAGATTTGAAGAGCTACAGCTTGTATGCTGAGAGAAAACACTGTACAAAGGAAGGGTTTCACTGCCATAAGGACTGGGACTAATAATTTATATGAGAAAGGATCCGGTTAGTTCGTGAACTCCTTTTGTGAGGTGTAGCAAAATATACTGTATATATTTTTTAATAATGGTGTACTATGTAGCGCTTCCAGAATGAGAAAGGCGCTAGATGGGGGTTTAAATTCCATCACAATTTGGCCATTACTTAAATAATTAACGAAAGAATGATAACGAAGACCCGTTGAATTTTAAATATTTTTCACAGGTTTACGTTGAGTGCCATCATGTCACAATGTCTCGTGCGATCTGCTGAATTTGTGTCGTTAAAGCTATACTGTACAGTAGGCCTATATGTAGATACCAAAAAAAAAACACGTATCCGGAAGGGTCAGCTTGAAGAGACAGACGGATAACAGTAAAAAAAAAACATATATATTGATCTGTTTATTCATAGTTTTCCTCATTTGTAATTTTTTATATCACATCACCGGAATCTTTAAACGCCAGCTAGGCTTCCGTAGTATGCATGACTTCATTCATCTTGTGTTATTGCTGAGCATAACTGTGACAACGGATGTCCTTGTTCCGCGCTCCCTGACCTTGGCAGCACGTGTTGCCACCTACAGGATATGTATGGGTCCGTATTCTCAACTTTTTTTTTAATCCTTCAATATCCTCTTCGTCACAGTTCAGGATGTTAACAATTCTGTCACAATTTTCACCGGTAGATAAACTATGACTTGACAAGATTTTTACATTATATCACCTGTCCTCAGTATTATAATACCCATATTACTTTTTAGTGTTTTGAAGGTGTTAAGTCAAGTGCTTCACTGTTGTAAAGACAAATAAAGAGCCAGTAGGCAGTGGCTATACTCTGTGGGAGTGCATCTCGTAACCAATGAAAATTGCAAAAGAGCACACATTACATGCCACCATTACACACTGAAACGTTAACCCCTTCACTACAGGATGTCACTTTTATTATTTTATTTGGTTAACGCAAGACGATTCTATTAATTACAGAGAGGCGCCTTGTATGTTTTCTCCTTCACCTTCTCAACACTATTTCTCTCTTTTCTCTTTTTTGCTATACTGTTACGTGATAGATAAAAGGAACTCTTAGCTCAAATGGTTATTTTACTTACTTTTATCCTCTTCACCACTGATCGGCTGAATCCAGGTAAAAAGTCACAGGTAAAAAAGTCACAGAAAAAAGTCACGGGAAAAAAAGTCACAGGAAAAAAAGTCACAAGAAAAAAAGAAAAGTTAACTATCGAATTCTCACATTTTTTAAGGTTAATATGTCAACCTAATCTAACCTAACCTAGCCTTTATTACCGGCCACCATAAATTAATTGTGACTTTTTTTCCTGTGACTTTTTTCCTAGCCAAAATTGTGACTTTTTTCTGACTTTTTTTCCTGTGACTTTATTACCGGCCGCCGATCGGCTCGTTAGCCGCTCGGGCGATCGGTCACGTCTCTGTTACGCACTGTTGGCAAGTACTGGGCTTGCACTGGCTCCGGAATGTATCTGAACCTGCTCCAGTGCTTGTCAAGTCTTCTCCTGAAAGAGCTCACACTCGGTGGCGTCACAACGCTCTGGTAGATTGTTCCAAGTGTTCACAACCCTCACTCCGAAAAAGTTACCCCTCACAGTTTTCTGGACTTGCGGCTTCTTCAACCTTGAGCTGTGACCCCTTGTGGGGCGAGCGTCCGCCAGCTCCAGGTAAGGACACTCGACTGAGTAGTGCCCTTTGAGATGTTTATACACCTCATTTAGGTCCCCTCTTGCCCATCTGTAGTTTAAGCTAGGGAAAGAAATCAGAGACGTGACCGATCACCCAAGCGGCTAAAGAGCTGATCAGTGGTGAAGAGGATATAAGTAAAGTAATTTCGGGCTCTCTAATCTCTCAAGGTAGCTGAGGTGCTGTAGTGGGGTAGCTGAGGTGCTGTAGTGCAGGCACCAGTCTGGTGGCCCTCCTTTGGACAATTTCAATCAACTGACAGTCCCTAGCATATCTCGGGACCAGACGGGGTGACAGTACTCGACATGTGGAGGCACTTCACTCTTGAAGATCTTTACGAGAGACCGTCTAGATATCTGAACGACCTTCTTATAAGACCTAATAATTTAGTTGTCTGATTCACCTTCTTCTCGCAATGGCCCGAGAACTTCAGCTCATTGTCAACATACACACCTCGGTCCTTTTCACATTGACTCAATTAATGCAGTTTCTTCTTCCCGTTGGAACATATGATACGCCTCGTTACTGTTGGTGCGTCCCAAGTGCAGCCTCTTACACTTCGTGACATTGATCTTAGCAGCCATTTCTTCGACCATTCTTGAAGCTCACAGAGATCCTTCTGCAGCTCTTCACAGCCTGCTTGGTTCTTAATTTCCCGAAATAACTTTGCGTCATCCGCAAACATTTGTAGATTTAGATAACTATAGGCTATAATAAATCGTCAAATTAGTTTATAGTTATTCAGCATATACGAGTATATTGACAATTCAGGTATACAATATACTGTACAAGTATACAAGCAATATGCAGTACATAAACAGTGAATGTGTATTGACAATGATATACAGGAAAGACAAAATCCGTATATAGGCTCTTGAAAATGGAAAACAAAAAATAATGGATGATTCCTTGTTTTAAGATTATTATTTAATACGAATCGTAGAAACCGATTGCGTTGGGAAGGTATACATGTTCCTTAGTAATGTTGAACTGGTATGCGTTATGAATACTGTAGTTTTGAAACAATGGTTACGTTTTGCAACCACATAACACCAACCGTGGTTACACTCGCCGCTCAGCTATACACTTCACCTAACATATCCCACATATCACAGTCATGTTCTCAGTTGGCCATTAATGTTGGCTGGAAACTTTTTGAATTCTTTGCATGAAATAATAAAACATCTGGGTCTTATATTATCCGATTTTGCAACCTTTTGTAAATATATTATAGTTACTCTGGCACTCTAAAATTAATAGTATTCTATAGGATGCATTGGTGTGTGTTGTTTTTACAGTATATACAGTAATTGGAGAGACCAGCAGATAGTCTATACTCTATAGTACATAGTATAAGCCATTTCATACACTAACTTAGACTGGACAACTACTACATTTTACATATATATATATATATATATATATATATATATATATATATATATATATATATATATATATATATATATATATATATATATATTATTTTATCTATTTAAATAAAGTATTGTAAAATAATTTACCACTGAATTTCAGATTTGATCACCGATGTGCTGTACACAACTATATGCGGACATACCTAGAAGAGTTTAATCATGTATTATTAGTTCATATAATATGGGAACTTTATAATTATATGACAAGTAATAATGAGTGTGACTGTGTGCAATGTTTGACTGGAGCGCACTGTTACTGGGACGCTGTGATTGGTCAACATGTGTCGTGACGTAATTTCATGGGGTCTGTAGAAGAGTATAGATGAAATGAACACCATTACACTCCATGTTCTAGCTACAATAAGTATTCCCGACACTATATACAGGGAAACGCATCTACTGTGATCCTTTTTGTTTTATATCACGATGCTTATTTGTTCGTCAACTTCGTCCTTTTAGTGTTTATTGTATTTTCGATCTTATGATGGTGACTTCACTGTTGTCATTCTTCTAAAGAAGTTTTCCTCGTTATTTCAGTAATTAATAAGGTGTGGCAGAAATCACCAGCTGAAATGGATTGACTGTACAAGAGTATGGTAAGAGACCCTTCTTTTTAAATGGCCGTATTGGTAAATATTATGACATTATTGGTGGCCGTATGACATGTCTGATAACTTATCTCTTGGATTAAGCTACTCGGATCTGCGGAGTTGTTGGGCTATCAAGTATTAGTATAAGCAAGCAGAGTGCCATCAATAGTAATTAAGGCAGTAAGTTGTTAAGTAGTAGACACTGGGAGAGTTGTGGTGGTGTGTACGTCACTAGTGGGAACTGGACCCAGATTTCAGTCATTTTCACTTGATCTTGACTGTTCTCTTCGTAAATAACATATTTATTCTCTTCTCTTGGGTTAGACATTTGTAAAGAGCAGCTTGATGCTTACGATGAGCATATTCCTTTGTTAATTGTACTGTACTTGTTACAAGTTCCAAAAACTCGCTGAAATGTGGTTAATCCTTTGTATGGAATTGGGAAATTTTTCCTATTACAACTTAATTGATGTCCTGTTCACTAGAACTGGTTTTTGTGTGTGTGTGACTGAATATATTTTCATTGTCTCTGAAATTGTCTTGTCTTGTCAACTATAAAGTATCAGGTTAATGGTTAAAACAAACAGTGGTTTCATGCCTCTGTAACAGGAGTTATATACTGCATCATAGATGTTTATTTTAATCTATCTGTGTGCATGCCAAGAGGAAAGTTTACTCATGTGTTGGTGCTACTATAGCTTGCTGTCTACACATCTATGACTAAAGGGGTATTATTATAGTTTCGGGTCATCCGGGGAATCCTAGGAATTTAGGTTAGGTTAGATATAGTTCCTGGGTTCTGTGGCTAGGTTAGGTTTAGTTGGTTGGTTAGGTTTGTTGGTTAGGTTTGTTAGGTTAGGTTGGTTAGTGTAGCTCAGGTAAGATCAATATCATTCAGAACGTCAAAAAATGGCAGAAAAACATAGGGATGAACGAAACGATAATTTTACTGTTTTAAGGAACTTTATAAATGGAAGATTGTTTGACTAGGGTTATTGCTTGAACTATGTCATGAATTTCATTAAAGATTTACTCACCTATTCTTACTAGGACTCTGCAAAACTACAGGAAGATCTAAACCAACTTTTTGAATGGTCTGAAAAATGGCAGATGAAATTTAGTTGACAAATGTAAAGTACTTCGTCTAGGAGATGTAAACAGAAACCAGATATCAGATGAACAATGTGTTATAGGGAAATCCGACTGAGAGAAAGATTCGGGAGTAATGATAAGTAGGAATCTTAAACCAAGTCAACAATGTGTATTTGCTCGAAACAAAGTTAACAAAGTATTTGGGTTCATATAAAGGAGTGTTAGTTACAAGACTAGCAAGGTCATCCTAAAACTATATCTTGCGCTTGTGAGACCTCACTTGGATTATGTAATTCAGTTCTGGTCACTGTACTACAGAATGGATAAAGAATCCCTAGAAAGAATTCAGAGGAGAATGACGGAAGACTAATCTTAATTTGTACTCCCTCGAGAGATGAAGAGTGAAGGGCGATGTGATCGAAGTGTATTAATGGAAGTCAGAGCTAAACAAAGGTGATATAACAAAGGTACTCAAACTATCCAACCAGGAGCAAACTTGTAACAATGGTTTTAAATTAGACAAATTTAGATTTAAAAATGAGATAGGTGAACATTGGTTTGAAAATAGAGTAGTGGATGAGTGGAACAAGTTACCAAACATCATCATTAACTCGAATATGCTGGATAGCTTCAAACATAGGTTGGATGGATATACAGTACTGTATGAGCGATAGGGGTCGGGTGTAAACGGGACTGCCCGGTATGGGCCAATAGGCCCGCTGCAGTTTCCCTCCATTTTTATGTTACCTAGCTTATGTACAGTACACTGTTGTTCCAGAAAATTCTTGGTTTTATTATCATTTCGGTTATGCAGTGAACTTTAGGATTTTAATTTTAGGTTAGGTTGAAATTATGTTTTTCCGATGGTTTTTTTATGTGCTTGGAACGATTCTAACTTTACTTCCGAATAGGTGCATGACCGAAACGATAAGTTTACCAAATTCTTTAAAGGCAGTCCTGATTTTGAATTCAATTTTGTTTGCCCCCTTTTGACAAGTTGTGTTTGGTGGTGGGGAGGGAGGGCATCAGTAGCAACAGACACGTTTCTAGATTCTTTCTTGATCTATTTTAATAAGAACAAGATGATGTTAGAGAACTTAAATTATATTGTTCAACTTGACTTGCATTATGTTTATTTTATCTAATCAGTGTTGTACTTTGTTAGTCATTGTGAGTCATCAGATGTACAGTATTCGGTGCTGCTATAGCCTGCAGTCTACAAAGATAGCTTCAGTCTAACCTAGCATAAATATCTTGTAGGCTGCATCTTATAGTATCACCACGAGTTCTTACTTATGGAAAGATAAAAAAAGTATGGGGTGCATGTATTAGTAGGTCTGAGCGTTGTTAATACTTTGAGTACAGTATGGTGTCGATATTCTGGACCATGTTTGTGCACTGTATAAGGTCAAGGAAGATAAGACCATAATTTGATAAGAGCAGAGGAGATAGGAGAGTTAACACATTGTCAGTGAGAAAGGTTGGTGGTGCTCTATACTCAAGGGCATGTTGATAGTACAGTAACATGTACAATCACTAAAAAATATTCTGCACCACTTGGCTCTGAAATCATCCGCAATGATCACTGTGACAGAAGCCGTGACGAGTGTTATCAATTTTCTTGGTCTGGTGTGTTATGTTGTATAACCCCATAAAGGTGCAGAATAATCTTTGAGTGAGTGTACCTACCTACCTAGGGTGGTGAATTTACTGTTTCAGCCACAACTACTGTTTGACAAAAAAATTTTGTTTTTCCCATGGTATTTGGTGTGCTTCATTTGAATTTGACCTTCATTTCCGTCAGAAATGAGTTGTTTTGGACTTAACCATACAACCTGACCTAACCAACCAAAGAAACCTACTTAACCTTGCCCAACTTCCTAGCCGTCCCTGCTATATTAAACAGAAAGTACTTATTTTGATATCTGGTACCAATGAAAGCAACTTTGTAGAAGCGTAATGGTGTAATTTTACATTTTTTGTGGAGGTGAGAATAAGCTCAGACTGATCTGGTTGGTTGTAACAAACAGACGACATGCAGTGACTGCAAATTTATGTTAATTTCTTAAGTGAATTTACTTTCTCTGTTAATATCCATTTGTGAAAGAAGTGGTTTTAGACAAAGTTGTTCCTATTGACAAGATATAACTAATGGTAAACACAAAATTGCTTTAACCGAGTTGTAGCTGAAACTTTAATAATACCCCTAGGTTGACCCTGCCAATTAGTTGCAAGGTTATGAGGACTGTACTGTAGTAACATGGAGTGTAATCCTGCATCATTTTTTTGGACGGTCAGAGATCACAGCAACAGGTATGAGTGAAACCAGTACAACTAATGAGAGGGTACGTAAAGAAAGTGTAAAGCGGGATTTCTAAAGCAAAATTAATGGACAAACTTGTTGGATTTTTGTTTTTTTTAAAGGGGGGTATACAGTTGAGAGGAGCAAACACAACTCCTCTTCACTAGTATTTATCCCCATAAATCACACAGTGCCATGTTCTTTAATAATTCCTGAACATTGCTGTGTCATGGATGCTCATATCTCTCTCTCTCATCCTTGTACAGTTGGCTCCACTCCTGTGTGTACCACTTAGCATTGTCAATGCTCACTCTCCTTAAGGTGTGAACCTTGAAGTGTGTGAAACTCAGCTGGGGAAATTCTGTCACTATTGTTAAAGCATTTTCCTGCATTGTAATCTCTTCCCAACTGATAAACACTTTCTCTCCTCACCCCCAGTACCAGCTACCCTGACACATCCCTCTGCTCTTCGTCCCATTCACTAGTTAATGCTTCGAATTCATACCTCAGAGTTCAGGGTTCACACCTCGGATAGAGAGGATTTGCAGCGGTAAGTGGGGTTAATGCAGGAGTGGAGCCAACTGTGCATGTAAGTCAGTTAAATCAGTTACCTGCAACATTTAATATGGATACACCAGGGCCCAAAATTAATGGCATTCTCATGTTGCTGAGTTTATTATTTTTTTTTATCGGTTCTAAATTGCAAAAAAAAATTGTTTCAGTGCATTAAATGGGCAGGAAAGATATACTGTACTGTATTCAGAAGAGCTTACACTTATTAAACAATAGAAATTCTAATTTGGTGATCAGTACTTTGCAAAATAGCTTAATTCTTTTTTGCTCCTATTTGTCCTATAAAATAGGGAAGGTTGTAGAAGCACTTGTTGTGTACAATTAAAATACAGTACAGTACTAACTATCATTCCTTATCCCATCATGGTGAGAGAACCCCAAAATACTGTCCAGTGAAACCTCCATATAATGAACTTCTCTGTATATAAAGTCAGTTAGATAGGGGGGGGGGTCACAACTAACAGATCCTAGATATAATGGACTTACATATCTATAGTTGGTTAGTTGGAGGCTTCACAACTACCAGACCCTCGATGTAATGGATTTTCCTTATGATATAGTGTGTTAAGTAGAGGTTTTACTGTACAGTGTCAGTATCATTTAACATTTAAAGATTCTAGTTTGGCATGGCACCAATTTATTTTTGTTAAGATGATATACCTGTATATATTTTAGATTTATTTCTGCTATTGTGTGATTGACAAATTTTGTACAGTACAGCTTAACTAGTGTAGGAGAATGGAAATGAGGTGGTATAAGATAGATTGAGGGTAGAACCTTGCTTTTCATTACTTTACTGTACTTGTATTATTTTTGCCATTTATCAGCTTACTAGCCGTTCGGGCACTACCCAGTGTTAGTACAGGAGGAAACCGGGGAATGGAAAGCTGTGATGTTTGGTAGTGCAGATCACACTGGATAACATCCTTCTCACGTGTGTCCAGGTTGAGGCTCGAACCCATCACATATTGGTGAGAGTTATGCATGTTGCTGCTGTACAGTACTACCTTCACTGAAAGATAGTATAGGATTTGTCAAGGGCATCCTCAGTTATCAAATGTGTAGCACTGAAATTAGCTGCCTTTCCCACACCTCCCTTCCCCAACTCCTCCCCCCCCCCCACACCTTCCCCAATTTCCCCCACCTCCAACTCCACTCCACACCCTCACCAGTGGAATCATATAAGGTAGAACAGTTTATCTTCAGTATTTGCATTATTATTATGGCTGACTGTGATAATCAATTTACAAGGTATCTTCAAATTTCAGTTTATTTAGTAAACAAATAAAATAAGCAGACAGTGAAACCTCCATATAACAGACTTCTCTCTCCATTTAATCCATTAGATAGGTGGGTCTTACATCTAACGGACTCTCGATATAACCGACTTTCGTCTCCATATAGTTCGTTAAATGGAGGTTTCACATCTAACGGACCTTACCTCTCATATATGTAATGCATTAAATAGAGGTCTCATTGTAAAATAATGTTCCCCATATTGTTACAGAGTATGATGGTAGGCTGATAAATAATGTCTGAAGCAGCCAATGCCAGCCACCTACACCAGCTGAGTATCTCAGGTTAGTTGTGAACTTGTTGGTATGTCTATTACAGATGAATGTACTTGTAGGACGTTTGGTTTGGGCCAGGGTGGTTAGGAGCTAATCAAACTTAACATAACCTGACCTAACTTGACTTTTAGATCATTAATGAAAAATTTATACAAATTGATGCACAGGAACACCCACTAAACACAAGGGAGGTACCATAACTAATGTACAATCGCTCAAGAAACTGTCAATACTGTTATCATTGTTATGATTATTACTAGTTCTGTACTGTATTACTGTAAACCCTTGTTATTTGCAGGGGTTAGGTTCCAAGGAATGGTGTTAATAGGCAAAACCGTAAATAATAACTTATACTACCTTAGTGCACTACTGTATACCTATACCAAACAACTGACCAGCCGTGGCAGCACTCATCCCTCTTTTAACTTGTCTAATAATTCAACTTTCTTTGTCCGGGGGGTCATCACTGACTTCTGCCTTTTACATTTCACTCCACTAGCACTGACACTGGCAGTCTTTAAGGGGCCATTTCACACAGAAACACTAAAGTATTGAGAGTACAACACGAGATGCTGTGTGGGGTGACTTGTGCTGCAGAAAAAGGCTTGCAAGCTAGCCACCATCTGCTTACCGTGAATTGTCAAAATTGCTAATCGCAAATCTGCGAATGGCAAGGGTCTATTGTATTATTATTATTATCATTATTTTTATTATTACTATTGCTGCTACAGTATTAATATATTTGTTGATGTTACCATTATTATTATTATTAGCTAGTAGTAGTAATAATAGCTTCATAACCTGAAGTGGAGAGATAGATAGGTAGATAAATAGATAGAAAGATAGACAGAGAAAGAAAGAGAGAGAGAACTAGCTCATCAAATGGGGGTTCATTAATGTTGTTTTGTTTTGTTTCAGCTGTTAGTGGGGATTTATCTGGCATAAGCAGCCTCTTCAACAAACCATCAGCCTATGTGGAGTTGATGGTGGATGGTGTGCAGCAGAAGAAGACACAACAAGTTAAACATAATGCTCATCCTAAGTGGCACGAAACATTCACTGTGTAAGTGTTGCCGAGTCACTTGGATTATTTTTTTATATTTTTCATAATTTTCGCCACTTATCAGCATACTAGCCATTAGGGCAGTTGATCTATCCAGTGTTATTACAGGAGGAGACTGGGGACCTTCACATAATGGACTTGTTTCTCCATATACGTACAGTAATCTGTTAGATGGGGCTTTCTTGTCTAATGGGCCCTCAGTATAACGGATTTTCCTTATTATATAGTCCATTAAATAAAGGTTTCACTGTGTAAGACTACAAGAACTAGTCTAGACATACAATACCTGTACTGTACAGTATATGGTTTTAAGTGATGCACCAACAGGACTGTACTGTCCTGTATTGTCCTTACATTTAGCTATTTTACAGTGGATGAAAAAGTTAATGCTGTACTGCACCCTACAGATTGGTAACCAAAGACTCCGTGCTGGTATTTCGGGTCAGTGATCACCACACACTGGTACGAGACTCCCTAATTGGAGAAGCAACTCTTAACCTAGCTGATGTGGTTGCAAGGAATGATGGCAAGTCCACCTCCTGTCACACACTGTCTCTCAATCCACCGAACAGCAACACACCGTCAGTTGGTGAGTATATTGGAGCTTACAGTACTGTACCTTACTTGAATTTTGAATAAAAACCACATTATGACCTTATGTACCGAAATTATGGGTTGTAGGTTAGTCATCATTTTCACAATAAAATGTTTATCTCTGGAAACTGAAATAAAACGTGTTTAAAGTGTAAAGATTATCTATAATACAGAGAAAATGTATATAAGAGCAATTTAAAACTTACGGGCACAACATAATTGATATTTTAAATATTATGTATGTATCAAGTTATTTCATAGCTCATTAATTAACACTAATTACACAAAATTTAAAATTCTGAACTCAGATCATTAACCAGCATGTAAAAGAGTACCTTTGTATAAATGTTAAGCAAAATCCACTTCTTAACCTTATATTCTCTGGAAACTTAAATTTAATGTGTTATAGCAAAAAGATTGTCTATATTAGTGCTGTGTATGTTGAAGTAACAGTAAAATACTTAAGGTTCAAGATTTTGAAGTTCATGAACTGTAAAGGAGAACAGGCAATATAGTTGTTCTACCATGTTCTTTACCTTATAGCTCTAGATTACAATGTTGCAACCAGAAACATTTCACAAGGTTGGTTGAGACGGTAGAAAATATAGCTACAAATATGGATTTTGAAAATTTATTTGTTCTTCTGTAAGACTGGGACGCTCATGCGAATCTGGTGCTGCTATAGTATGCGATCTACAAAGATATCTTTAGTCTAACCTAACCTTAATATCTTGTAGACCGCACGCTATAGTAACACAGCAAATGTTCTGTACTGTATGTATTTTGACAACTATTTACCACTGTAATGGGTGGACATATTATGCATGTCAAGTCTTAAGTTATTTTGATCCTCATGAGTTCCTGCATGCAAACCTACTCTAAATATGTGTTTTATTTCAGTTTCCCCGACTCCTACTATCACTGTCACACTTGACGGTCTTCGCAATTTGATGACCAGAACGAGGGAAGCTAATGTCACCCATCCCACAGGTAAACACTGGTGTACATCTTACCATCACTGTTCACTCTTCTCCTTCCCACTCCATCATATTTAGGCTATAAATCTGAAGACGTCATTGTTGCACTTCACAAAGATCAAGTTAAAACATCTCTTTTGTTGATCAATAATTATGTCTTACTGATGAAAAGACGAAATTTTTTCTTTGATCTATGACTTTTGCGTTTAGTTTCATGGATGTTATGATGTATGTTTGGTAAAAGTTTGACTTTTCATTGTCCAGAGTACTGTACCTGTAGTGGAGTTGAGTTCAGTATATTAGATCAGTGTGCAGTATATATAGTACACCCACCCAAAAAAGTCTGTGTCGGTCCTCTCTCCCATCAATGAACCCTGAGACTGATGAACCTATGAATTGGAGACATCACGCAGTCTATAGATGGTGAACTGTGTGATGTCTCAGATTCACAGGTTCGTAAGACACAGGGTTCAGGGATGGGAGAGAGAGAACTGGCACGACTTTTTTGGGGTGGGTGTATGTCAAATGGAAATTTATAGGTATATTTTGAAAGGTTTAATTGTCTGGCTTTCAAATATGACTATAGTACAGTACAGTATATACTTTACCTAGACCAAAGGATGATACAAATTTTTTTCCCAGATAAAGATGTGTGCCTTAAGATCAAATCACTTATATCACAAAGATAGTCCTGTGTCTGTTGACCTTTTTGAGCAGCTCGTGCTTATAGCGTTACTGCTTTGAGGTGGAGTTAAAATCTTGCCAGATAAATGTCCACCAAATAAGGATGCTGGCAACTGAGACCTTGTCGAACACTGCCTTGTTTTCTCTTATGATCTTATTCCTTATATTGTATTTGGTGGTTTCAATTTAGGAGCAACTAATTTGACTAATGATATGAGCACTGCTGTAAAGTCTTTGACACTCAAAATGTTGCTGATAGTGACATAGCATACATTTTTTAGATGGTAATTATTGAAAGAGGTGGTGCATATAATTACTGTACTTGAATTTCATTAAAGTTTTATTTTTTTTATTTTTTTTATACTGCCTGTTATAGTGTTTAATATATGTCATCTTTTCCAGTAGTAAGTGTTAGCGGCGGCAATGTTAGCGGTGGCAGTGTTAGCGGCGGGAACACTGTAACACTTCTTGTAGGAGGCAAAACTCCCCCACCTATACCACCGCCTCCGAGGCAGAACCAGTCAGAAGCGTTACTACCGTCAGCTGGTAGTGCGCCCTCCACAGTGTCCACCATCACCCATACATCAGGGATGCAAACTCCAAAGACACAACTCCCAGCGATTAACAGTGATGGTCAGACTGCACATCCAAGTGTTCGGTTTAGGCAGGGCGTCGGTAACGGATCGGCCGTATTAGTGCTCGGAGGAGAGAGTCCCACTGAAGCCACCGGGAGTCAAAATGGAACTACAACCAGTACCCCAAATGGACCAACCGGGACTCCCAGATCTTCCTCTTCTACTCCTACAGCCACACCAGTTACATCTCAAGCCAATAGTAACCAAGGGACACACCCAACATCTGCAACAAGTACTAGCACTGTCAACGGACAGCTTCCTACAAGTGCAGTCTCTTCAGCTTCCTCTTCTCCAGTACCCAGACTTGCTCCCCCTGTGGTGGCGCCCAGAGCTGCTACTCGACACCACCGAGCCCATAAAAATAAACGCAACTCAGGTTTGTTCATTTTCATTGTACACTACAATGAAAACCTCCATATAACAGACTCCTCTCTCCATTCTGTGTAAATACCAGGACAGATGCCCTTACAATTTGTGGATTTTTAATTCACGGCCCTCGATTATTCGAGGATGACACCTTCGATGTACCCAAGAATGTTTGCGAGTAGTTTTAAAGTTACCAGCATTTTCACGGCCATATTTCACTGGATTTACTGTTATTAATAGTGTTTATTTATAGAATATTGCTTAACAGTGATTAATCATGGCATTGTAGCTAGGTTAGCTCATCATTGTAACCACCAGGCTACTGGACCAAGCTGTGAGGTGTTATGGGTTTTTCAACTCTCCCCGAAAGTGCTCTGTACTAATTGTTCCAGCGAACAGGGATATGACTGAAAATGCTTTGTGAATATGTTGCAGATTTAAAATACCACGACAGTAAAGTGTATTGTTGGTTGGTTATTGTGTCACTTGCTAACTACACTAATAACTATTGTAGATAAATTGCACAGTTAGCATTCAGAATTTTCATTAATTGAACATAATTAGCCAGAGGCTTTTCATCAAATTCAAAACTTTGTAAGTTACAGGTACAGTATTAAAGATTTTAAAACCACCAAAATGTTCTGAGTAATATGGAACTGAATTGGTTAATATTAATTATGGGGGATCACTGTGTGTGTGTGTGTACAGTACATTTCATTAATTGATCAACAGATGGTAGTAATAGTGCAACTCCGGCCAGTGGTAGTGTTGGTGGTGGCAGCGGAGGAAGTAGCAGTAACGGCGCTGGAGGTGGCACCGGAGGAAGTAGCGGAAGTAGTAACAATACTAGTCAACCTAATTCAACAAGTGGTGAAGAACCTCTTCCTCCTGGGTTAGTATACTGTACTGTACTGTATTGTTGAAATACTGTAGTTCACCCAAGCAGTGGGCAGAGTTAAAATACATTGATATTTGGAGACAAGTGCTATACAGTACTGTATCACCATAGTCCAGTAATAAAGGTGAGAATGAATTATCAAACTACTGTACAGTACTGTATTGCATCTTTTAAGGTATTGAGATAATGATCATAAAGATAATAAAAATAGAGAGAGAGTAATAACTAAAGAAATAAAAATAAATAAAACTTAAGTCTCACTTCCCTTTGTTCTCAAGTTCTTCTTTACTCTCTAAATGCTCTACATTAGTTCACTACTTTATATCACATTAGTACAGGTGTATTTCTTCTGCTGTATGTATTACAAAAACACATAAATCTGTTTAAATCCTTTTTTTTATGGAATTACTATTTTTGTAGTTAAAACTCAGAAACTTTTGTGTTTTATTAACCATTTTCACTTTTTTTTTCATTTAAACTCAAGAAATTGTTGTCATATTAACCTAACATAACATATAACATAACATTTCACATAACATGACAGAACAACATAACATAAGCTAACCTAACCATTCTCATTATTGCAGGTGGGAAATGAGATATGATCAGTACGGTCGACGTTATTATGTAGATCATACAACACGGTCCACCACGTGGGAGAGACCCAAGCCACTACCTGCAGGCTGGGAGGCGCGTAGAGACCCCAGAGGGAGAGTCTATTATGTTGATCATAACACACGGACAACCACTTGGCAACGACCAACTGTAGAAAATATTAGGTATCTATCTGTCTGTCTCTCCCTCATTAATACCATGGTGATGATGCGATAATGATTGTGTATTTAAGGTGATTTGGAACAAATTTTTTGTATTGAATTTTAATGGGACTTTATAGTGAGCATTATAGATGATTTATGTAAAAAATTTACTGGGACAATTGTGCAGTATTTCTTATTGTAATGTATTGAAGCAGTTCCTATATTTTGGCTGTGTAAATCATCATGGTACTATCTGTGTTTGTGTACATGCTAAGTCAAATAGATTTCACTATATTTGATCCATTCTTAGCTGTTACTAATACAGGACTTGGTCAGGTTAGGCTACAATTTTTATATATATATATTTTTTTATTAATTTTTTTAAGAATATTTCAGGTTTAAACTTGGGAGTGCAAATTAAGGAAAGAAAAAAATTGCATGATGTAATTTATTGAAACATTGAACATGAAAGGGGCGAAGCACTATTTTTTAGAAAGAAAAATGAAATGGTGTTATTTGGGCTGTAGTGATGAACATTTAGAGTGGAGAACTGTGGTCGCCAACTCTCCGGTATGAGGACGGTCAGTGCAGTACTGTGATTAATTGATGGACATATAATTACTACATTTACTTCATGTTTAGGGAGGAGTTATCAATGGCACTGTACAGTACTAGGCTTTTTATGGTTATTTTTCATGCCATGATATGCCATGTTAATTTCGGGTGAGGCCGTAGAGTAAGCGTTATAATGTGTTAGTGAGTTTGAGATACTTTACCATATTTTATGGCATATAAGATGCACTTTTTTGTCTGAAAAAAGGCTAAAAAATCAACCTGTGTCCTGTATGCGAAGTTAAAGTCTCCCGTAAGCCAATGAAACCCCCAGTTGCTGTCTCCAGTAGTCTAAATTCTACCTGACCCAACTCCAGAATAAAGAATATGTTATTGCTTACTTAAACACATCATCATTTTTAATTAATTAAAAAATAGTTATTGTAAATACAGAACTGTATAAAAGCTTGATTTATAACAACTGAACTCGTTAGGATAATCTCAGGCGATAAACGTCTGTACGGCAGAAACCTAACTCTTCAGAGGTAGCTAAGCAGTAACCATTTCTGAGCCCTTACAAACTATTAATGCCATATTTGCAACATTTATTTTTAAATCTACAAATACCTGATACAAATGAAGATTTACATATACAGTAACTTTCTTTTCATTTTTGCATCTGTTAACATCGCTGGCAGCATTGTAGCCAGGTTAGACTCATCACTATAACCACTAGGCTACTGGTGTTAAGGTGCATGTGTTATATTATTGCAATAGTGTACATATTAATCTACGTTTTTTACAGGCAATTTGAAGAGTGGCAAGGTGAGCGGCAACACATCGCCCAACTAAGTTCACAGCGATTCCTTTATCCCAACCAAAACCAAGAAACAGACGCTAATGATCCTCTGGGACCCTTACCATCTGTGAGTTGCTGGCATTAATCTCTCTCTCCCTCCCCTGTACTGCAATGTAATGTCTTTAAAATAAATTTGGTTTCATTTTGGGTAGAGTTCTTCGCTTTCCATTCTAAAACCTGTTATCTTATTGGCCTTTCGTGAGTAAAAATTAGGGTGTACAATATATATATATATATATATATATATATATATATATATATATATATATATATATATATATATATATATATATATATATATATATATATATATATATATATATATATATATATATATATTATAAAATATTTTTTCATAAATTTCTATTAAAAATAAAAATAAGCTATTTCTGTGCATACTTTTATGATAATTAATTTGCACTTGTCGGTCTGTCTGTCCATGCATCCATCCCAACCAAGTTTGTTAGCAGTATTATTCAAAGAGCATAATACAGTACAGTATCCAGCACAGAACAATATAATTTTGTGGAGATGTCATGACGCTGCTGAAGGAATGGCTCTCATCTGCTGAACGTAATGATTTCACAGTTTTTGTTTTTATCCCCTTTATTAAATTTTTGTTTGAATATTTTTCTATTTGATTTTGTTGGAAATTCTTCAGTGTGTGGTTTAGCAAATAGAATCTAGGTTAGACGTTTTGTGAAGACCTGTTTTTATTATTATTATTATTATTATTATTATTATTATTAAGACTGTGAAGTAGCCAGTAATGGAAAAACTAACTCAGGAAAGTTGTTTAGTTTGGTTTACATTATATATGTCATAGCAGGTGAAGGAGATGTAATTCACCATTATTTCTCTTTTTATGTCCACAGGGTTGGGAAAAACGACAGGAGCCAAACGGTAGAATTTACTTTGTTAATCACCGTAACAGAACAACTCAGTGGGATGATCCACGGACACAAGGGTAAGTTATAACAAGAAAAATACTGTACTGTTTCTCTCTCTCTCTCATTCAGTCAGTCTGGTAAAACTCACGTTTAAGCCTCCAAATTTTGTACAGCAAGACCTCTTTCTAATGGACGGTGGGAGAGCGTAGTCTATTATATTGAGTTTTGTTTTATATGTGACTTTTTTTTGGGGGATTCGCCAACATGGGCATGGGTCAATGACCCACATCAGGGCCGGGGGGAGGGCATTGGGGGAAAAGTTCATTATATGTTGTGAACTTCCATATAACAGACTATAGAGGAAAGTACAATCTATTATATCGAAGTCTGTTACATGGGGAAACCTTCATATAATGGACTATGTATACCCATTAGATTGCTCTCCGTTAAATAGAGTTTTTGCTGTATGACAAATTACATGTAATCTTTCAATGTGATTCTGCTCTTTTCAAATGTAGTATTACTGATACGTAATTTGTCTTAGTACGGGTATGCCTTATTGTGGGTAAAAATAAGTATATATTAAATGCATCCTCCAAAAGCGTGAATTTGCTACCAGAGTTTAACAGTTAGTTCATGTATAAAATTTCTGATAAACTTCCTACGTCCTCATGTTTGAAGTAATGAATGTATGTATCTTTATGTAACTTAGCTAAATATCTTTCTTATCAGAAACGGTCATCCCAATGATTAAGAATAAACTCGTTTAGAAATACATCATTACTTAAGGACGAAATCGGACAGATTTGCAACAGCGAATCAGCTGTAACTCTGGAGGAGGGGGGTGGAGCATCTCTTCTCAGCTGGAAAAAACGCACTATGCTGTGCCTCGGGCGTTGATGATTAATGTATTTACGGGACAAGTGGGAAAAACTTTACAGGCAGTGAGGAGGTTTTAATAGGAGATTGAAACATGTATTAAAAAGAGTTTGTCAGAAGCAGCTCTTTGTGAGGTTAGACTTACATCAAAATCCTTGATGTGGAGGTTACACTGTACAGATGAGTGGAAGTTACTGAAGGGAGACTGTAGTTTTACAAGCTGTGCCCCTTATTTTCCATATGCATTAAAGATGTTAAAAAATGTGTGCAGAATCTTTGATACAGTAAAGTACAGTACAGTACACAAATTCTCTTGAATAGTTAGATGCAAAGTGTATACCTCTGATGTAGTTGATTATTCAAGAAGTTGCACAATGCCAGTAACCCTCACCCCCCTTTTTTTTTGTGTGTGTGTTTGTAAAAGTTTTTTGTTTCCTCAGCATGGTCCTGGAGGAAGAGGCTCTACCACCCGGTTGGGAAATGCGACTCACAGAAGATGGCCGCCAATATTTTGTTGATCACAACTCCCGGCAGACAACCTTCCAAGATCCCCGGCCTGGAGCCAAACAGATGTACGTGTTTCTTAATTACTCTACTGTATCAACACATCATACTAAAGAGGTCAAGATTACAATTAACAAACTACTTACCCTTTTTTATCTCTACCCTTTGAGGATGAAGATGGTTTAACCCTGTGAGGAGGATGATGGTTTAACCCATTGATGTTGATAGTTTAACTCTGATGATGGTTTAACCCTTTGATGATGATGGTTTAACCCTGTGAGGAGGATGATGGTTTAACCCATTGATGTTGATAGTTTAACTCTGATGATGGTTTAACCCTTTGATGATGATGGTTTAACCCTGTGAGGAGGATGATGGTTTAACCCATTGATGTTGATAGTTTAACTCTGATGATGGTTTAACCCTTTGATGATGATGGTTTAACACTTTGAGGAGGATGATGGTTTAACCCATTGATGTTGATAGTTTAACTCTGATGATGGTTTAACCCTTTGATGATGATGGTTTAACCCTGTGAGGAGGATGATGGTTTAACCCATTGATGTTGATAGTTTAACTCTGATGATGATGATGGTTTAACCCTTTGATGATGATGGTTTAACACTGAGGATGATGATGGTTTAACCCATTGATGTTGATAGTTTAACTCTGATGATGGTTTAACCCTGTGAGGATGATGATGGTTTAACCCATTGATGTTGATAGTTTAACTCTGATGATGGTTTAACCCTTTGAGGATGATGATGGTTTAACCCTTTGAGGATGATGATGGTTTAACCCTTTGAGGAGGATGATGATTTAACCCTTTGATGATGATGGTTTAACCCTCCAGGACTCAAAGGGTTAAATGGGACACTAAAAGTAATGGTAAAATATTCAATAGACAGCATTAAAATGATGGGTATACTGTACAGTATTAGATTTCAGTAGATAGATATATACAAAACACAAAAGTTAGACATTAGGTTAGAGTCTTGTTTTAAGTCTTTTATTTATTTATTTATTTAATTTTTCGAGTGATTGCGTAAGTAGATTCAGTTTTACCATATAACAGCTTCAGGAGTTCTTTAAGTTATTGTAGTTTGTTCATGTAAAAAAATGGAACTGGATACAATTTCATGTACTGTTCCATTCACCCACTAAAGTTCTGTTGCATCTTGTGCTGAACCACGAACCCTGAGATTCTGACTCATGAGCCCAAAACATTAGACATTGATGTATTATTTTCTTCATAAATGCTTTGGATTCACATGTCTGAAGTGAATCTTGGGGTTCGTGGTTCAGGAGAGGCATATTTTCTTAACTCTCTTTCTTCAGTTGATAATCTTTCTTCCCATTCTCTTCGCTGCAAAGTTGCTTCACTATCTCACTTTTACAGGTACTTTAATGGGCAAAGTTCAGTGGATTTGACATCCTGTGGGCCGTGGGCTCGTAACACTCGTCTTGCCCGCAGTGCCCACCGTTTCTGTGTGGATGTCGGTCACACTAGAATAACCCGCTATACCTCCTTCTTTCCTCACACAGCCAAACTATGGAATGCTCTGCCTTCTTCCGTGTTTCCATAATCTTACAATCTGTTTCACTTCCAAAAGCTGGTTTTCCGGTATCTTTGTGGTGTAGATTAATATAGTGTTTTTCTCTTCCATTTTTAATTTCTTTTTACTCTTATTTTTTCTCCCCCCAGGCCCCATTGTGGGTCAATGACCTATGCCCAGGTGGGCTATTCCCCATAAAAAAAAGCTTGTTTTTTCGTGGGTGAAACGTGTAAATTTGGTCAAATTGTGACAGATATACAGAACATCCATCAAAGGTTCAGATTGTTTAATTAATTAAAAAAATAATGGTGTTTGTATATTATGGACTAGATTCCTACCTTGTATGTCCAAATGTTTGTGCCTCACTCACTCATTGACTTTGTAGATCATCCAGTATATACTGTATTGTGATTATTTTCCAACAACAGTCAGCCATATCTCTAGTGTTACTCAGGATTTAGCACTTTATATTTTGAATACGAATTTCTAATGAGCTCTGACAACCTGCTTAGGCTTGGCAAGTTGTGCTAAAAGTGTCACTGATGGTTAGGAAGTTATTGCAAGACCTTCAAGTGTGTGTCTTCTCTTCTTCCTTGGATGAATACACATCATGATTACTCACTCTTTTGGAACCGTGTTCTTCACTTAACATGTTTTAGTGCCGTTATTGTAGGTAAAAATCATATTCATGGCTATATGACAACCAAATTTCCATAGATAAATTTACAAAGTATCTCAGAAGTATTAATGTTCAGGGAATTCAAAATTTCCTTCTCCAATAGATAGAAAGATACTCTACTTCTTAAGAACATCTAGGTTCTTAAGATTTTGTATTTCAGGCAGTACAGTACTAGTGACAAGCTTACTGTAGGTGAGTAAAAGCACCAGGTACCATACTCGTAAGTTGATTACATAAGTCCAGTTAGGTTGCAATGTGAAGGGAGGACTCTACCTGAGCATCTCAAGCAGGGAACAGTTGACATAGATGCTGATATATATAGTTGTGTTGTTGTTCCATTGCAGCAGTGCCAACAGGGGACATTATGGGATTCCAATGGTGTACGAGCGATCCTTTAGGTGGAAGTTGGGACAGTTCCGCTACCTATGTCACAGGTGAGAAATAAGTAACACTTTTTTTTTCAGCTCTTGCATGGAGCACAAAAGAGGTTATGCTATACTCCTGTTGTTATAACGTATTGAAGTCCAAATGAGGATAAATTAAAGTACAGTATTTTGGATAAAAACTTTTTAACTGAATGACTGAGGTTGTGACTATTGGTTTTATGCAAGTAAGTCATCTCAATATAGTTATATTGTAAGAAGATATATTTTGTCTTCTAACTCATAAAAAATTTTGACCGAATTTACAACAACGTGCCGATGCCTCCCACAGTAATGCCGTCACAGGTCACATCAAGATCAGCGTCACTCGGCAGACTCTGTTTGAAGATTCATACCATCAAGTGATGCGACTTCCAGCTTATGAGTTGAGGAGACGGCTTTTTATCATCTTCAGAGGAGAGGATGGACTGGATTATGGAGGAGTAGCAAGGTGAGGGTAGTGAGCGGGTAGTCCATTGATGGTATATTTAGTTTTGCCGAAAACATTTTGATCTCGCCGTGGAAAAGATTATATAGATGGACTCGTATACCCACCGAAAATAAGTCCTGTCAACACCGAGACTCATGAACCTGCGGATCCTAGACATCACACATTGCTGGGCCCGTAAATGGTGCACTGTATGATGTGTCGGATTCGCAGGGTTCTTGGACGGGAGAGAGGACTGAGGGAACATTGGTTGGGTGTACATTTTACTGAAAGATTCTAAATGTTGGCTTAGCTATTACACAAGTCAACCAGACACACTTTTTTAAAAGGAGAGACATGGATAGATTTGCCTCATCAAGCATACAATAGGAGTAGGGAAAATAGAAATACAGTAAATAATAAGGAAATGAAAGAATACAGTACACTCATACAGGGTGAATATAGATCCACGATGTGTCCTGTTTCCTGTCTAGTAATTCCTTGTTTACTTGGTCATATTTGATGATCCAATTTACTGGAGTTATATCCATTGGTCATGTGCATATTGTGGATCATACCCTGATTAAAGTACAGACATAGCCGAGGCTAACATAACATAACCAACCCAACCCAACTTGACTTATCTGGTGAGATTTATACAGTAATCCTCAGTGATGACTTAGGTAATCAGTAGTATGTGTCTCAGTGTCAGTAGGACTTTGGTTCTCTGGTGGCTTGAGGTGGGTGTACAGTGAAACCTCTATTTAACGGACTATGTAGGGAGAAAATTCCGTTATATCGAGGGTCCGTTAGATGTTAAACTTCCATCTAACATATTATATGGGGAGAGAAGTCTTTTATATGGAGGTTTCACTGATGCACTTGTTTTTACACACGTACATACTGGAGAATTATGTATGATTCTGTTTATCAAAATATTTTCACTCTGTGCAGAGAATGGTTCTTCCAGTTGTCCCATGAAGTTCTCAATCCCATGTACTGCCTGTTTGAGTATGCCAATAAGAACAACTACTCCCTGCAAATTAACCCAGCATCAGAAGTCAACCCAGACCATTTAACTTACTTCAAGTTCATTGGTCGCTTCATTGCAATGGTGAGTATACGGTACAGTCAATCAGTCAGAATACCAACTGTCCTCATTTCTGAAGGCTGGCCATCACAGTCTTCCTCTCTAAACGTTCTTTGGGTGTCTTTGCCAGTATAGTAATCTCTCTGTTAGCCGGAATTCCTCAAACTCTGAATTCTTCAACAGCCGGAATTGAAATTTTCTCGGAAAATCTTTCCCCGAACCGTAATTTTTCGGAAAATTCCGGCTTTGGGAACGATATTCCGAGAGGCACATTTTCCAGAAATTCTGATAACTTTTTCTCGATACCCAGAAATTTCTGGAAAATTCCGGGGATGGGGGAGTTTCTCTCCGGGTTTGATAGATGAAATTCAGGCGCATTTTCCGTAAATTCCGAGAACAATTATCCGGTACCGGGGAAGTTCCTGGGACGGAGATATTTTTTCAGGGTTCGAGAGATGATGTAATGGGCAATTTCTGGAACTTCGAGAAATTTTTTTTGTTATCTGGAAAATTCTGGGGATGAGGGATTTTTCTGTCTTTGAGAGAGTCGTCTCATTACCCGGAAATCTCCCATTCCTGGAAGTGATCTGCACCAATTGTTCCGGCTAACGGAGATATCACTATTGTACATGGAGGATAGGTCCTCCATAAAAAGTCATTGTTTTTAATTTTTGTGTATCGACTATTTTTCAGCTCAATTTGCCGAATACACTGTACAGTATTAGGAATTCAACATTAGTTTTCGATAGTGTGGCTATGCAACAGTTATTCCCCCCAACCAGGATCTCGACCCACATCATGGACACTTGTCAATTTCTATACATTTCTAGATGTGTACCATGACCTTTATGAATTCATGGAAATATTAATTTTTTGTCTTTTTGGATTTGTCTTTGGAAATCTACAGTATATACGTTCAGTAGTAATTTGGTGTTCATTTACCTAAGTACTGTACATTAGTGTTAAGGTACTGGTATCCCCTTTCAGAATTAAAAGAAAGAAGGACAGAGTATTTAGAAGACAAAAACAGTATAGCGATGGTGTGGTGGTAAGAATCAATAAGGAAATACATTACTCAAGCTATCAAGTTTGGAAACCAGTTGAGGAAGCTGTAAACAAAATTAGAAATAATAAGGTTTGTTGGGTTGATTAGCTCTCAGCACAATTTCAAAAACAAATGTGATGGAATGGGAACAAGTTAAACAATTTGATTTTAGTCTCCAAACCTTGCCTCAATGAATGGACAATGCATCATCAGCAAGGACTTAGGGTGTTAGGAACCACTTTGTATTAAATGAATTGTGCTGTTGGGATCAGGTCACTGGCTGTGATTGCTTCTCCTTCCTGCACACCATAAATTGAGACACATTTTCAACTACAATACATGCCAACAGTTGTAAACAAACCCATCAATTCACATTCTAAAACTTAAGAAAACCTGTCTTGTCCTTCATTTCAGGTTTCTGGCTTTGATTGCTTCTCCTTCCTGCATCCCATAAAACGAGATACATTTTCAGCTACTGTATAGACCAATGCGGTACAGTACGGTAGTGACATAACCCTTCATTTCACATTAAAAAAAAAAATACAGGTATAAAGAAAATTATAAAAAAAAACTCACTTCTCCTCATCCTCCCCAGGCTCTGTACCACGGCAAGTTCATCTACTCTGGGTTCACTATGCCTTTCTACAAGTGTATGCTCAACAAGAAGCTCACCATGAAAGATCTCGAGTCCATTGATCCAGAATTCTACAACTCTTTATGCTGGATTAGAGATAACAATATTGAGGTGAGAGATAATGTACAAGTGGGAAATAGAGATGATATAGAAGTAGATTATAGAAATATCAATATATAGAAGGATTGTATTTTGGGTAAGAGATAATGTACAAGTAGGAAATAGCAATATAGGAGGAAGATACAGTATAATGGGTGAGAGACAACAGAGGTAAGAGAGGAAAAACACTGATGAAACATACAATGCAGTGAATCCTCAATATAACATACTTTCCTCTCCATATATATATATATATATATATATATATATATATATATATATATATATATATATATATATATATATATATATATATATATATATATATATATATATATATATATATATATATATATAAAGTTTGTATAGCACATAATAAAAGATGTATATTTCTCTCTTCTACGTGGATTGGCCTAAAATGACTTCGTTGCTGCCACACGTTTATCCAAAAGATTGACTAGATTAATTTCTCTCTCTCTCTCTCTCTCTCAATTTTAGGAATGCTGTCTGGAGATGACCTTCTGCACAGACTTTGAAGTGCTCGGCAAAATTTCGGAAGTGGAATTGAAAACTGGCGGCAAAGATATCCAGGTTACGGAGGAGAACAAAGAGGAATATATTGAGTGAGTCAATTCCCCGAATTTTTATTTTTTTATTTATTTTTTTATTTTATTTATATTTTTTTTAGATCCATACTGATAAGGGTTTAGAAAAAATGTCATTGTACTTTACAAATTTATCCTCAAGGGCAATTATGCCTTGATTAGTAAGAGATTATGTTATGAAATCAACAGACAATTATGCATTAATTAGGTGTAAGTTATGTTACCTATTGTGAAATCAACTGTTAATTACATGACATTTTCAGGTTGATGATGCAGTGGAGACTGACGCGCGGGCAGGAGGCTCAAACTCGATATTTTCTCGAAGGTTTCTCAGAAGTGGTGCCTTTAGAGTGGTTGAAATATTTCGACGAGAGGGAACTGGAACTGCTGTTGTGTGGTATGCAGGAGATCGACATTAATGACTGGCAGAAGCACACCATTTACCGGCACTACAACCGGTCATCCAAGCAAATTATATGGTTTTGGCAGGTGAGTGAATTAGAGAGCTAATTTTGCCTTACCACCACCAGGGGGAGGAAAGGGGATTGATGTAAGACTCACTCTGTCCTTCTGTCTGTCTCAAACACTTCTTGACTGTATTTGTGTAATAACATTTGTAAGTGGATTTTAACTAAATTGTTACACTGACTGGATATACAGTATTTAATTGTTACACTGACTGGATATACAGTATTTAATTGTTACACCGACTGGATATACAGTACCTGAAGTAGTTGCTAATTAACCCCAAAGATATACCTGCTGGTGTTATTGGAGTCATTCACACACACATACACCCAGGCCTCAGCCGTAAAAATGGGGAACCCTTTCAGAATCAATCCTACATTTCCTGTTGTCCATTATATTAGAATTTTTAATCTTACAATCTGGTGTACCAGTTTCCTGTTTTGTTCTTTGATTTGATATAAGTTTGAATATATATTTATATCCTAATAGTTAGAAATTTGAGCATCAATATTCAATAGATGGTTCACAAATATTTATATTATTCTTATGTTTTTGACCTTTTACTCAATTTTTGGAAAGTTTATGATGTTTCCCTGTAAGGAGTTGGGAAGATTATTTAAATGGGGAATAATTAATGACATTCTTGTATACATATTTTCCAGTTTGTAAGAGAAATTGATAATGAAAAGCGTGCAAGGTTGCTCCAGTTTGTGACCGGAACCTGTAGAGTTCCAGTTGGAGGCTTTGCTGAGCTAATGGGTAAGTAAACATTGAATATATATATATATATATATATATATATATATATATATATATATATATATATATATATATATATATATATATATATATATATATATATATATATATATATATATATATATATATATATATATATATATATATATATATATATATATATATATATATATATATATATATATATATATATATATATATATATATATATATATATATATATATATATATATATATATAAACATAACGCTTGGGGGAGGGGGGGTAAGGGAAAGTGTAGCACTACTTATTTTTTGACTGTGTATGAGTGAATCAAATATAATTTCCGTGAATAGGGTATTGAGTTCCCGAGTCTTAATAACTTGCTATTATTTACCAAGATCTCCTACATAATTGTATAATGTTTTTACGCAACCTGTTATCCCATGCATGTGTACAATATAATGATGATTAGTTACATCTTACTTTCTTTGTTTTGTACCAGAATTACAGTAGTGATAGAATGTTTGGCAGGAATGAGAAAACAAATTATTACATTTTCACAGGGAGTAACGGACCACAAAAATTCTGCATTGAAAAGGTAGGGAAGGAGACTTGGCTGCCGAGGTCTCACACGTGCTTCAACCGTCTCGACTTACCTCCCTACAAGTCCTATGAACAGTTAGTGGAAAAACTGACCTTCGCTATTGAGGAAACTGAAGGATTTGGTCAGGAATAAGATGAATTATTTTATATTTAATTTTTTCTCTTATCAAATGCAGTGCAGTATATATGAAAATGAGCACTAACGTGGATTTTCTTTTAAAAAGGAAATTGCACATTGCACATGCACATGACCCAAGACATGCATCACACACACACACATACACCCATATAAGTGCACAGTACAAATACACACACATACACACACACACGGTTATTTGTTTGTTTGAAAAAATAAAGCAAGTCCGTTTTGATTATCTGAATAGCAGGAAATGGTGGAAAAAACAGTATTTTCCTCCAGGTTGTGTTTCACTGCCCATGTTTAAGCTGTCACAAGTAGCATTTGGTAGTTCTTTAACCTGCCGTGGTGATTCATTTACTGTAATGCTTTTATATGGTATAACTGATTTTAATTTAATAAGTGTAATGGATCAGTAATATGAAAGATTTGATTTGGGGCAGAAATCTGTTACGAGTTCATAGAAATCTGTCATGAGTTCATACAGCAGTGATGATTGTGATGATTATTGCTTGGATAAGACCCTCCATGTCAAAATAACAAATTAAAATACCTATTGAACTGTTTTCCTGAGGCGTGTGTTTAATCCTTCGGCTTTCCTTAGTTTTGTTGTCCTTGCCTTTAAGTGGTAACCTATTTTGTTAACTTGTCATAGTGTTTGTTGGTACAGTATACTCTTATTATAGTACTACTCTTTATCAATGGTTTGTCATATCACAAGTAATTATTGTTTCTGGCAGGCAAATTATCTGTAAGGCTTTTAGATATGAATAGATGAATTGCCTGATTAACTCTGATCACTTGCTTGTAATGACTGGAGATGGCTTTTTATTTTTGTCATATCATCATCATCATCATGATCATCATCATCATCATCATCATCATCATGTGCAGATCTGTTGCAGTGAAATTGAGTACCTGGTTAAATATTATCCTTGTAGCATCCAATCATATGTGTAACTAGCCGGTCCATCACAGTTGGTCAGTTGTGCTAAGTATTCCACCCCTTCCCCCCTATCAATATATCAGTGACTATGCCAGTCTTAATAGTATTCAGCATCCCTCACCGCTAATGTCATTCATTGTTTTAGGAATCTCTAATATGAACTTAATATTACTGAAATCTTGGGAACTTTGGTTGAAGTATATTGTACTAAATTGGCTAGAGCGGGATTCTTTTGCCTCATTGTTTATGCAAGGGGGAAGGGAGTACAGTATGATGTTATTTATATTTATAAATACATGTAAGGAGAAAATATTTCTAAATATAATATATATAGTATATAAATATAACCATAAATATATTAAAAGACTATAAACACAGTTAATGGTAGGAGTAATGAGCAACAGACACAACTACAGTAGTTAAGTCAAACCTTGTCACCAGTTGGAGGAAGTGGTCTATAATATAAATGTTCATATAAAATATTAGGAATATATTTTCTTGTATCACTCTGTTCCATATTAGTAATCATCATGCTTATTAATGTGCCAAAATGGAAATTGATGAAATTTGCAATCAACTCTGGATCTGAGAATATTTATGATATTTTTGGGACTTTTAGTGAGTTTTTCAAATGTTTAATTAAGATATACCGAGTCAGGTCATTGACTGAATATTTAATATAAAAGATTTATACTTGGACTACTATTGGTACAGAATGCTGCTATGGATTAAACTTTGGCTTAATGTTTTAATTATATGTAAAGTTATGGAGTGTTACTTATTATCATCTCATGTTTGTCTGTCTGTCAGTAAATGTATTTCATAATTATTGAAATGGGGTGGAGAAGGTGCATTAAACTTCACCAAAATATAGTACAGTATATATAAAGAATAAGAAAAGAAGAAAATAAAGCCTGCAGCACAGTATTTATCCTCAGTTGCATTAATTGATGAAGCAAATCAAGGCTTATACTCTTTACTTGAACATTTTACTTCCATTCAGTTGATTCATCTCTGTCACTACTACTATCTTCTGCACCAGTAGGCTTAGTTACTGGTCAGTACCATCCCTTCTTCATGCTCCACTCATCTATATTGATTCAATCCATTTACAGTGAGACCTCCGTGTAACAGCCTTCTATCTCCATATGATCCATTAGATAGGGGTTTCACATCTAATGGGCCCTCAATATAATGGATTTTCATCTCTATATAATTCATTAGATGGAGGTTTCACATATAAAGGATCCTCGATATAACAGATTATCCTTTCTATATAGTCCGTTAAATAGAGCTGTCACCGTATGTTCGTTTAACTGCAGACAAATCTTTGGAAGAGAATATATTTAAAAGATTCTCAACCCCTTTTTTTTTTACCCTAACAGTGGCCAAGTGAAAGTATCTAGTTAAGGTTAGTTTCAGAAATCTTGTTATCTCTTCAGACCACTTGGAAATACAGTAGCACATCCCTTTGCTTAACACGGGGGATGCATTGCCAGAAAATGCGACGTAGAGTGAACTCGTGTTAAGTGAGGGGGCAGTGTACTATATATAATGCTATGTAAAAGTGGGATTACCAAAAGGAACGACATCTAGCTGTAAAAATTTCCATACCATCAGGAAATCACTGATAACTCAAGACACCCTTGGAAAGATGTCCTAAAATGGGGACGATGATGATGATGTTAATGATACCTGTACAGTATATAATTTTGATGTTAGTTTTGGATGTCCATATTGTATTAATGTGACCTATTTTCTGGAATTATTATCCTTATATTTCTGTTATGTTTTCATCATTAGCAGTCAGTGTGAGTCCAGAGAATGAACATGCAAGCAGTATTTAGTTCCCCCCATATCAGTTTTGTCTACTACTACAGTTCACTAATGTTTTGATTCATAATATTATAGCATTTTCAGCCTTTAGCACATACAGTATACCTTTGATATAACAGACTTCTCTCTTCATATATTACGTTAGATGGGGTTTTTCACATCAAACAAACCCTCGATATAACAAACTTTCTTCTCTATATAGTCCATTATATCGAAGTCCATTAGATATGAAACCTCTGTATAATAGACTATATGGGAGAGTGCAGTCCATTAGATGTCAAACCCCTATATGACGGACTATACCCGTTAGATTGATGTGTTTTTAATGCAGGTTTTACTGTACTGTACTGTACCTCACAATGTTTCAATTTGCCCAACAAACTACAGTACAGTAAAACCTCTATATAAGGGACTTCTCTCTCCATATAATTTGTTAGTTGGGAGTTTCACATCTATTGGACCTTCGATATAACGGTACTACTTCTCTGTGGTCCGTTAAATAGAGGTTTTATTGTAGTACAGTACATACTGTATGTTGTTTTACTGTATGGATCATTATAGTTCAGAGTTATTAAAGGTTTACTGTATGGATCACTCCCTATAATTTACCGTAGTTTAAAGGTACGTAAGATCTTTTGGAAGGTAAAACTTGTTTCGAAACATACAGTATTATTGAGGAAAATCTTGTTCCAGTGCTGATCTTTTGAGGAAATATTAACAGAAGTCCAGTCACCCCACAAAAGTACTGTCGTCTCTCCGGAACCAAGAACCCCCGAGATTCAGACTCGTGTGAATCCAAAGCATTTATGGATAGAACAATGTATCAGTGTCTTCTGTTTTGGGTTCACCAGTCTGAATCTCGGGGGTTGGTGGTTCGGGAGGAGTGACGACAGGACTTTTGTGGGGTGACTGGACTGTACAGTAAATATCACGAGAGGAAGAGTTGAGCACCAAGTTCAAAGTCTGTGACAAAAGTCAAGGTCACTATTTAAGGTCATATTTGGCATTAGGTGTTGTATGTTAGTTTTATATTCTTATTCCTGGCATTAACTTGCTCGAGATGATATTTTTGTATAATAATTTTGATCAATCACTGTTGATTATGCAGTATTTAGCTAAAGTGTAATTACTGTACTTTTTAAGCTATTTAATTTATAGAATAATCATCGCTTTTTTAGGTATACACTTAAAAATTTATGTTCTAAAGTTACAGTTCTAGCGGCCTTAGATATTAGTTTGAGCCGAGGCATATTGTGAGCCATATTATTTGAAGATTCTAACTAGCCTTATACCACAAATATGGTCGTTCATTCTCTTCGTGAATCGATTTACTTCTACGGGCATACCTCTTAGAAAGCTGTTTCGCTATAATACTTGCTTCATATGGAGGAAATATTTACCGTTAAACCCCCCCAAAAATGCATCAAGTCTACAACAGAACTCGGACGTTCTGCACGAGACAACACAACACCTAACACTTCTGCTTTCCCCGAGCTGGGTTGTTCGACAAATGAGTGGCGTACATTGATTACTACTTGGCCAATCAACCATGACGTCACGCCCCTCAGTTTTGAAAGCAACTCCTAGATGTGTGTTTACTCTACCCTGGTCCTAACTTTTTGATTTATTGCTGACTCATTTTTTCTGGTAAAAAGTCTGCATGTGATACTGCTGGGTGAATGGCCTCAGCGTGGTTGTAAAAATGGAGTTCATAAGATAATGATAATATTTATTCAGTCAAGTTTGTTATACAGGTTTACAATTAGATAGGCATGTTTATAAACTATGCAGTTATACAGTCCAGCACGAATATAGACAAAGTAGGTATATGGTGCACGTAGGCCGTGGGAGTATTGTAAAGTACCGGGTATATGGTTTCCTGTGTTAATTAATGACAGTAATAAACGTTAAGGCAATTTGTCCAAGGATAGCCAACAAAGCTTATTTCCAGGAGGGTCCTTAGCTTAGCCTGGTGACCCGCAGGTTGATAGAGGTAGCACAGACAATATCTTGGGTATGGCTACATCAATCATTTAAATCATTTTCAAGAACACAGAGAAGACAAGGGCTTCTATCCAATCCACCAATTTACTGGAGAAGATGGATAACCTGTTGGTGCTCCATGTAGGTGGTTAAAGACCATGTTAGAATCGATGGCAAGTAGTGGTCAGTCTTAATCCCATCCTCTTGACTGCGAGCACTGAATTATTGAAACAAACCCAATATATATATAATGTATAATATTTTAATATTTTTTCACATATAAAGTATCACTTTTAGGACTTATTTCACTCATAGGTTAGATGGTGCTGCTGTGAACTCATCCCTATCGGAACCAAATCATACAGTACTTAGATAAGACATAGAAAAACAACAATAATAATAATAATAAATGGTTCATTGGGTGTTGTAGGGTCCCTTTATGTTTCCTCCACAGTACAGTAATTTGAGCCACTGTCATGAGTATTTGTTACTTTATCTACAGTAAAATCTCCATATAACGGACTTCTCTCCCTATAGAATCCATGAGATGGGAGGTTTCACATCTAGCCAACCCTCGTTATACAGTCATGGACTTTTATCTCGCTATAGTTCGTTAGATGGAGGTTTCACATCTAACGGACCCTCGTTATAATGGACTTTTATCTCGCTATAGTTCGTTAGGTGGGGGTTTCACATCTAACGGACCCTCAGTATAATGGACTTTATTCTCCATTTAGTCCGCTAAATAGAGGATTAGCTATAATTGTTAAACTGAGGGTAAAGTGTCACTGCTGGTGATATTTGGAAACTGAATATGGTAGTTTGAGATTCAGTGACTTTTAAATGGGCAGGAAAAATAAGTTCACAGAGCGTACACACCTATTCTGGGCTGGACAGTCGTGACATACAGTAAGTGCACTGTACATAGTTAGTGTAGGTTAGGGTTTCATAAAGGAGGTTGTTAATGCAGTTTGTGGATTTGGTATGATTTTTTTCTTCGTTATTATTATTACAGTACATGGTATTATTATATTCCTGTCCTCACCTTTTTTTTTAGCTTTTGTGGTGTTATAATTTTCCTTATACAGTATTTTATTTATATATGTAGCGTACAGCCTATGTTTCCTCGGTTGCACTCACATATGGGTCCACACAACAGTCTATCAAGGCCACACACTTGATTATTCCCAAGCACTTTGTTGTTTATTCCTTGTTTTTATATTCTACATGTCTATGGTGACTTTAATACAAGTATATTGTTTATAGTTTTTTCTACTGGTAGTACACAACAGCACATTGCCTTGGTATTGGTGCACGTATAAATCTTTCTACGTCGCTGCTTTCTACACTACGATGTTAACAATTAGAGGGACCATTGGTGTATATCAATAATTATTTAATTATACTGTATTGTATACAGTACCATTCTTTTTAGTGATGGTTGTACAGTATAGGATTTAGAAGTGGCACCATTTTTTTTTTTCCATATGCTTAAGAGGAACAATTTTAAGGGAGCTGCTTTAATTATATGCATTCTTTCTTGTCTGGTCAGTTTTATGTTGTCAGCAAAAAGATTTATTGTGCATGTGTATACTCTCATTCCCTTGTGCATACATTTTCACCTAAGAGTCCATAATATGAGTACATATCCTGTACTGTTTAGAGAAGATATATCGTTAAATTTTAAGAAACAGTACTCCTAATACTTTGACATTAAACTTCTCTGCATCGAGAAATTTAGCAACACTATCATTGTTTACCTGTGCTGTTGTAGAGATAAATAAGACTTAACAAAATCATGGTCATTAATGCAGTCCGAGTATATCTTCGGTGAGCAGTGTTTATAAATTCTATTGCTGTAGTTTTTAATTTTTCTATTACATATTGTAACAGTCACTCAAAAAACTATAATTTCTCTGGGTGGGGAGGCGATGATTTCAGAGTGAACAATGACTCCTGTTCTCCCGGTAGGGTCGTCACAAACCTGAGTCCAGTGCGTCGTATTGTCTAACACAATTTTGTAAAGATGGTATTTTGAGTGACTGTACAGTACAGTAATTACATCTTTGGGTATTATCTGACAAAATTCCCTACATTACAATACTAGAGTTCTTGAAGACATGGCAGTGTGATGCTTTGTTAAACTTATTAGGACAGCTTAAAAAACTTGTATTTATTGTGTGTTTACTTCCTGTGTTCTTGCTTTATTTGCTTGTTGGGTCTAATTTACTATATTTGTCTCGAGCAAAGAAAAGAATACATTTGGTGGGGACAGTGACAAGGTATTTAATGCCTCAGGTGACTTTAGGTTGTCCAACTTTCATTAGGTTGTCTTTATGTAAGATTCTGGGTCTCTGTGAGGAACACTATTTTCTCTTTATATTATTTTGAGTACAGCTGGTTCTATAAGTCAATTTTTTCTCTTTTCTTAAATTAACAAAGAAGAAATTTTTACTTACTGCAACAAGTTATTGTATTCGAAACTTTTAAGTAGATTTAAATTTCCTACTAAAATTAGATAATTTTATCTTACAGTAAACTTAATTTAAAAGGGATCTTTGAAGGATACTTGTAAACAGTTCACATGTGTTTGCTGACAAGTTTGTAACATCAGACTTCTTACCCCAAGCCATTTACCAAACATTTTTTGTAGAAGTTAAGAGTTCCTTTTGAAAAGTACAGGTACAGGTATGTAATAAGTGAAGTTGATTATGGTAAAATATGGAATGTTTCTTGATTTCAAATCAAAATATAAGTGTCTTAGATCTTGTTTTTGAAAAGAGCAGAAATTCCTGACAGAGTAAAATAAGAAATTAAGTACTGTACACATATCACCTTAAACAACGCGAGGGTTAGGGTAATGAAAACCCTGCGAAGACCAAAAACCACGATGTTCACCCACGGGAAGCTACGGAAAGCCCCAAAGCGGAGAAACCCCCACTCCATCTCCATAACACATTTACTTCCAATGTATCTCTTTTATTTTCTTATTTTATAGTTTTATATTATATTCTCTATATTTCTAAGCCACCTTAGAGAATTGTATTGATTTTTTCACAACTTTTATAGTTTCATTATAAGTAACAATATACGAGGCTGGTGAGTTGGCCACGTAGTTTAGAGCCAAGGCTTTGGCTAGAAGCGCCTCCAAACACTTTCACATCTCACACATACACACTCATGCTCTTCATTTTCTTGTTTTATGTAATATTTTCTTTATTTCTAAGCCACATAATTTTTGTAGAGTAGAATAATTATTAAAGAAGTCCATTTTTCTGAGACATGTGCCTAGAGTCAGCTGGCTGACATGCCAGTCAGCTGTGGCCTGTGAGGGATGGTAATGCATGTTGCCATTGTTTCTATGTAATGGAAATTTAAAAATGATGGAAAAATGACTTAGAAATAAAGGAAATATAAATATAAAATAAGAAATATGAAGAGCATGGGTATGTATTCTGTGTATGATAAGTGATATGTTTAAAGTTTCACACACACCTTTTGTATGCATCAGCAGCAAGTTTACATTAAACCCCTACAGTATATTCCATTAATGTTGTATTATTAATTCTTTGGATCATATTGTTGACACTTGGATATGTAAAGTGGATGTAAATTTTTAGAATTATTTCCCAAAGATAATTTTGTGATGAGTTTAGCTAAGATTTTTTGTCTGTCTGTAGTGTTGACCTTGGATTATTATCTTCATTATATATTATTATATTATTAGTGCACCATTACCTTCTTTGCCACTTGAATTGGTCTGTGTTGTTTTTCTTTGTAAAACTGTTTGTTGTAATTCTATAATATTTACTGTACATGTATAGTCTGTTAAAGATGCACTGACCCCACCCTGGGTCTCGCACTGGCAATACTTGGTAAAGTAAGGCTGTATATAAAGGTGATTGTGATTGGTGGATCTTTTTGGCTGCATTACTGTCAGGATAAATATTAAACAAACCAAAGGTATAATGTTTTTAATAATAAACTATTCATTGTTATTTAAGATCACGAGAAGTTTGCAAATGTTCGTATATTTGCTTAAGTAATGAAGAAATTATATTAATGAACTGGCAACTCGACTTCAACGAGGGCTGCCACAAGATTCTCTGATCAATTTTTTTTTAATTTAGCAAATACACGAACATTTGCAAACTTCTTGTGATCTTAAATAACAATGAATAGTTTATTATTAAAAACATTCTACCTTTGGTTTGTTTAATATTTATCCTGACAGTAATGCAGCCAAAAAGATCCACCAATCACAATCACCTTTATATACAGCCTTACTTTACCAAGTATTGCCAGTGCGAGACCAAGGGTGGGGTCACTGGGTCTTTGGCTGACTATACCCCATCTATATACTGTACAGTACATGTACCTCACAGTTGTTTGTGTGAAAAATCAAGGTAAATGCCATTGTATGAATTTTTTAAGCATGTTGAATTAAGCTCACTTTTTTGTATGAAATTTATAAATTATTGAGTTTATTAGGTTCAGATTTTGAGTTTTTAAATATAATTTAAATTGGGTGGTACCAGAAGCAAGACTATGCATCAGTAACTGTACTCAATGTCGTGATTGGACTGTTAAGTTGAGTCTCTTCGTACATGTATCCTTGTGTGTACACTATGGTGGAGATGGAAACCATTACAATTTACTGTTGATTATTCTTCCCTAACGGACTTTATGGAGAGGAAAGTCCATTATATCAAGGGTCAGTTAGATGTGAAACCTTCATCTAATGAACTATATATGCCTACAGATAAAAGTCTGTTATATTGAGGGTCTTATGAAATGTGAAACCTCCCATTTAATGGATTATATGGAGAGTGAAGTCCATTATATGGAGGTTTCATTGTAACTAATGAATGCAGTGCAGTATATAGTATGTGTATAGTGTCAATGACAAAGATAAAGTTAACCGAAAATCTTGTACACTTACTTCAAAACAAACATTATTGTCATTCAGCAAGGGACATTCATACTTATTGTCATTTGTAACTGATATTCTCAATTTTGTTTTTGTTTTCTTTTTGTTTTGAAAAGGGAGTCATTAAATGTACTTAAAGAAAAGCTTCCAAAAAGTGATATAGTTGTTAAGAAAGGAAGTACAGTACGTGGCAATGTCTTGTTTGTGATAATATTAGAATTCAAAGCAGCAAATTGACTAAGTGATTTTTACCTTTAAAGACAGTGCCCCTCCCTCCCCTACCCACTTTTTGTTTTTGTGTGTAAAATTTAGTTCAAAATTCTGGTTTGTTTTTAAGAGTTGCAAAGCTAACAGAGTATCTGTAAATTGTGAGAAATTCATTCTTTCTGTTATAAGGAGAATTTTTGCACCATGCATTAGTATTTTGCTGGTGAAGACTTGTGTACTTCTCCAATATCCAAGATTCTACAATATTTCAATACATTGTCAGTGTACAGTACAGTACAGAACTAATAAGTGAGTAAACAAGTTACAAAAAGTCCTCTCTCTCTCTCCTTATGGTTACATAGAACTCATTTCCTTGTAAATTTACTCTTGGATATGTAGAAAACCAATATATATGGAGAGGATTTGTACAAGAGGAACTAATGAGTGTGTGGGGATCATCAAGTGGAAATAACAAGTCAGGACTTACATGCTGCCTGTACATAATGTAATATAACTATATGATTTTTTCTTTACCTTGACAAGTGAGGTTTCATGTAAATACTGTGATACAATTAGATTAGATAAGTTATAGGTGAAGCTGTTGAATTCTTCAACCATAAAGAAATAATGAACTCTGGAATGTATACTAGCTAGTTATTTTGTATTCTGGAAGATAAAGCATTTTAATGATGTGATTATATCTGTGAGGCAGATCTTTAAATTATTATTATTATTTTGTAACATGGAATACCAGTGGAATATTAAAAAAAAAGTTACTTGGAAATAGGTGATAATAAAAGATACTGATTTTTTGCAAATATCAGTTGTTGTATTGAGACTGAAAGAGGTGGAAAGCCCGAGTCCTGTATGTAAGTTAAGCAAGTGTATGTTATGTGGACGCTGCCGGTATTGTCATCATCTATCTGGTGGTGTGAGACTTTAAATGATCCTTTCATCGGTGTTATAATTAGTGCCTATAGTTTTTACTGCTGTTTGTATTGTGATCATGGTAGTTAGTTGTTGTGTTTAAAAGGAAAGTGAAATACTCCATTGATAAAAAGTCATGCAAATAGGTTGTCAAAAGATCTAATAAGTTTGTGAATGCATTACACACCCATGCAGTTAATGATAGCATGGGATTATATTATAGGTCTGTATTCCCTGCCTATAAGATCATTGCCAAGAACTGTTTCATTCATCCTGTAATGTTGATTAAAGAATTGAAGATGACTGCCCATATTAAGTTGCTTTCTCTTTTTGTTAGTTGTGTGATTTAACTGGCTTGTATGTCATAACCAAACTGATGATATTTTTTCAGTATTGTAAGACTTGGAAGTGTTGATGGCGGCATGTCACATTAAATCAGTGACCACCACACGCACACACATAGTTACTGACTGAAAAAGTATATTAGAAGATCACTTGACCTCAAATGCAAGTGAAAGAAAAAATTGAGGTACTGGTTGCAATTGTTGTTTTAAGAGTTGTTCATGTAGTATATATAGTGATGCAAGTGCTGTGTAAATCATCTAATTGCAGTTAATGCTTCTTCAGCACAGGCAATTACAAGTGGCTGTACAGTTTATGCAACTGTATAAATTATGTAGTGAATACTTCAACAGCTAGTGTATTATATGAATTGGTAGTTATTATAAATGTTATAGCAAAGTATTAAAAAGACAACAAGCAGTTGTTTTATACTAATAGTTTGGATTGTATCTTGCACATGTTGAGTATGGTTTGCAATAGTACCAATTCTTATTTTTCATAATACCAGACCACTATTACTGTGTATATATAAAATGTCTGGATCTGTAAATAAAGCGTATTCCTCAAATGAATTTCCAAACCGAGTAAAAATTAATTTTATTACAAAACAATTGTCCCCGGCTGTTATCCTTCAGTTGGCCATTATTTGTCCTTTCCAAAAACCATTGTATGAGGAATATTTCCTCTAAATTTATGTCAAACTTGGAGGAAAATCATCCATAGTTTCTGGGTAACAATAACAGAAAATTGAGGAAAAACATGTGGACGCAGAGGGTATAATCCCTTCCTTGGACGTTAGTTGTACCCTTACCTCTTATACAAATGAGTTTTAAAAATATAGAATACAGAATGACTTTGAAGCTACACTCTATGGTAATTGGGTGAATAATCAAAATAACCAACACTGCTTTTGGCCATGGAGGCAACAGGTTGAAAACGATGTACGCTGGCTGGCTCTGGTGCCTTGGAAATGTGTGTGAATCTATCCTCAGTACAGTGCTGTAGTAGATTTTAAACAAAATTATAAAATGTATACTTTTAAAGATAGGTACAGTATTACAGTAAATACTTGCAATCAGTGTAAAATAATATAAATCACACAAGAAAGAAGTAGCCAGCGTTTAGAGTAAAATTTCACCACCCACAGATTTGTGGTGCATGTCTGTATACCTGTTGATGTGTGGTATAGTGCTTCACAGGACCATTGTTTCATCCTACATACAGTATATCACTCATTTTTTCTTACACCTGGCACATTGCATGATGCTGCGGCGCCCTATTGGAATTGTAATAAAAGAAAATAAAGTACTGATAAATCCCACTACTCTTTTAACCTTGCTTGAATTGTATGGGAAATAAATTTAAGTAAGTTGCCAATTTACATCGGTGATGTTCCTAGGAAATATGACATAAATAGGACTTGTTCCCATGGCAAATTTTGGAGGCAAACTAACTTCGACCTCACTTGGAAAAATATTAAGAAACAAATAAGTACTAGAGAACACAAAATGCATAACTATATAATTAAATGTCGAGACAGTATATTGGTACTCGCCAAAATAAAAGCAAGAATACTGTAGTCACAATATATCACCCCATTAACCCCAACTTGAGCAACTGAAACAAATTCAATGGTGTTGCTGCATCAAACACTCGGCTGACGGCAACATTGCTACATGACCTTGATTATAGAGAACAATTGTAACAAAATAAGGCGTTCAGTGACGTACAGTAATTTTCTTACTGAAGAGATAATCACAAGAAGTCCTCAGCTGGAAGAAATGGGTTGTAAAAAGCACCTGTATTACTTCCATTAATGTTTATTTTATATACATAATGTCAAATAATTTGTGCATTATGGAAATATTTATTGAGCTGTTAAGAAAAAGTGTTAGAACTTTTGTCTTAGGGGCTCGAAAGAGGACCCAAATTAAATCCTCATTGGGTGCTAATACTGTATAGCGTACAGGTTGGTTAGGTTAGTTTTTTTTATATATTTAGATGTTTTATTAAAATCTGAAAAAAAATTGGTACAAAATTCGATCATTTGCCCAAAAATTTTAGGTCAGATTTGAGTAATACACAAAGGAAAAAAAAATCTATGGTAAAAAAAACTATCGATGTCATTATCGTCAACAATGGCTGGAAAGTAATTAAGTTGTTTATCTCTGTTAATTTGAATATTGTAAGATCTCTTGCGTTGAGGGAGGCCTTACATAAAATTATTAAGGCATTCTAGGCAAACAGCACACAATTTAAGCTAATTCATAATATAGAGTAATTATATTATTTTAGAACCCTGAGGGGATACGAGAAAGCACATTCATCGGATATTACCAAACTTTGATAATAAAATAAATATGATAAAACATATGATTTTAATATTTATTATATTTGATGTGGTAATATGTGATATGCAACCAGAGAAACTTAAAACACAATATAATTTAGATTCGTTGTTACTCCTGTGTTATGGTTATGGCCGGCGTCACTGTGCTTCTGTTCGTGGTACAACTTGAGGCGTTATACTCCTTATTGTACCCTCTGAGGACCTCCGATTAATTAGGTGTTGCATTGAGTAAGTATTACTTCGTTTTTTTATACATTTATAGTTTAAACAGTTATGGTCCATGGTGGTGGTTTAGAGGACACCCGTCACACGGTAAAGCAGTGACTCCAGCCAGTTTGTTTTTACCATATTTACCAAAATGGAAATTTAATTTAGACACATGTCGCCCTAATAACTTTACCCCAAACATGTCTTCAGGCAAAATTTAAGTTCCTTATATCAATATTCAGGGGCCCGCATTTTGTGAGCAGTGAGGGTGAACTGCTCTCTGAAGGTCTTAAGAGCATAAATGGCCTTGGCCATCCATCTGGCTTGGTGGAAAGCGCCAGGTGCCCTCATCTTCACACCTCCCTCTGGATTTCCCCCAAGAAGGTGTATGACGGGACAATGAGTTCCTTGTAATCGTCCCCTAAACATCATCCAGTTTTCTAGTGTACATGAAGTGCAACGAAGGAACCATGTACAGTACTCGCTTGGTTCAAATTTTAACCCTATAATTTGGGCCACCCTAATATATATATATATATATATATATATATATATATATATATATATATATATATATATATATATATATATATATATATATATATATATATATATATATATTATATATATATATATATATATATATATATATATATATATATATCAGCAGTGGCTCACTATCATATTACATGACATAGTACAGGTATTTCTAAAAACTTTTATTTTAAAGAAAAATTATGTATAGCTAGTTAAAAAATACTTTAAATGATTAAGTTGGCGAGTCTCTTCTCCTGCCCATGAGGCTATCTAGTATTGTATGTTAAATAGCCACTATTGATACCAAATTCACATCTAAAGAAAGTTTACTGCATATCATTTATATCTAGCATATAAGCAATATGATTTAGCTACCAGTGTTTTTCTTACCAAAGTCATGCTTCAAAATAATTTCCACAAAGGGTCTGGTTGTACATGTTTGCTTGGGGCTGAAGGTACTTGTGTCTGATGTCTTCTGCTGATATGTGATGGAGTAGGATTCCATTGAGCCAGTGGAGGACCGTGCACGGCGTCCATAGTTTTGATTACCCGAGTTGTTGTGTAGTTGAGTTTATTTATGTGAGAATATAATACACACCATTTACTGCAGGCACAACAGAGGTTTATATTGTTCACATACACTATCCATGACTTGGAAACTTTTATTGTGTGACAGTTCTATTTTATGTAGCTACCAGTACAGTATATACCACTAATAATAATAAAATATCATATCCAACTGCTCATTCCAGTGACATTTAGTTTGTTTCATCGAAGAAAGATTTAGACTGGGGCAATGGAAGTTATCATATCTTTATCATATCTTGTATGGGGGTCACAGAACGGAAGAGGTTGGGAACCACTGATGTAACTGCTTATGTATGTTAGTGTGTCTGTCTTTCTGTACCTTTCAGTATATCTACCAATACCTGTATATATCTATCAGTACTTATCTCAATCAGTTTTATTTATATTTGTCAATACAAGTACTGTACTGTATTTGTCAGTCTGTCAATCTATGTACTGTATGTTTATCCATATGGCTTACCAATATCTGTCAGTATCTATTTGTTATTTAGAGAATGTATATAAAGGTGACTTAAAACTTGCAGGCACAGTGTGATTGACTTTTTAAATGCAGTATTCTAAATATCTTAAATTATTTCAAAGGTCATTAATTAACAGCAATTACTTGAATTTTTAAGCTGTGAACCCAGATCCTTAATCAGTATGTAAAGTAGTACCTTTGTGTAGTTTTATATTATATTTTCTTTATTTAAAAGCCACATCATTTATATAGAGTGGAATAAGAGTTGAAAAAGTCTGTTTTTCTCAGATGTGAATTTGCTAGGTCAGCATGTAGCACTGTGCATTGTAGAATTTATTGGGGGATCCCAAGAGTTAGTTTCAATTACAGTAACAGGAAAACCTGTTAATCCGGCACTTCTCAATCCCCTTAGGTGCCGGATAACTGGGATTCTACTGTACAGTATACTGTATCTACCTGTCTATCTGTTTAAACTACTGTATTAATGTACCACTAATTTAGCTGGGAATATTAAGGCAAAAATGACAATTTGTCAAGCATGCAAGGTTTACAGTCCCAAGAAAGTTCATATAAACCAAACTTGCATAAAACAAACAACTTCTGTATTGAATGACTATTAATTTATGGACATATTTTATCATAAACTGTTGTATATATTAAATGTTTTTTGTTACAGAGGAATTAAAGACCCTTGGGAAATTGAGCAGCGCCATCATAAATGAAAATGATTCCTGCTGACTGAGACAGAGCTGCCATTGTAGAACAATGAACACTATACCACCACTACCACAGCACCACCACAACACCACCACATATGGCAAGGTAAACTAAAGAAGTCATTTGTCTGTCTGTCCGTCTTCCGTTTATATCTTTCTATCTACTGAACTGTTTGTGTCTCTGTCTGTCTTTATGTGGCTTCAGTATATCTATCAATACCTAACTCAGTCTGTTTTATCTGCTGTTTATCTATCAATCAGTACAAGTATTGGTAAATTTACATTTTCAACCAATATGGCTCTTGAGTTGAGCAATATTATCGTAACTGTTAATCTAATATGTTGAATATTGGAACGATAGAAATAATGTAAGAAATTTAGTTAGGGAGTTATATATGTTACATTTAATTTAGGTTATATTTAGTTAAAGTAATATTTAATAGTTACCTGAAATAATAGTCTTGTGAGAGTCTACATGCCTTTATCTGCGCATGCATCCTACCAGCTACCGTTGAATGTCAAATTACCTGCCATCGTCAGTTCCTTAACGATCCTGACCTGAGAAACACAACCTTCAGTAAAAACCAGCTATCATAGAGGGGCTCACTAACTAAGCTCCACCATTAATTCCTGACCTCCATCCACATTAGCAAACCTTGAGTATCAATTTATGTTGTAGGATATCCTAACTTTATACTTTGTATGTATTCAGTGATATATCTGTTAGCCGGAACAATTGGTGCAGAGCACTTCTGGAAATGAGACATTTCTGGGTAACGAGACAACTCTCTCAAAGCAGGAAAAATATCTCACATCCCCGGAATTTTCGGGGTACATTAGGGTCGGGATATTTTTTTATTTCACGAAGGAAACGGGCAGGTAATATTTCAAATTTATCACGACTGCCAAAATTATCAAAATTTTCCAATGTATAGTGATAAATTTAATTACAGTGGACTCAAAACTTACGTGGAGTTACGTTCCTGGGACCTTGCATAAAGCCAAAAATCGTATAAAGTCAGAAACACTCCTAAAAATCCCTTAAATAGCCCAAAAACTATGAGTTAATTTTTTTTTTATCTTGCAAGGATTCCAGCAATTCAATTTATATTCTGCTAACTTTAGTGTGTGACATTTTATAAGATAAAAATTTTAAGCCTAAAACCACTTTCAATCTTGCCGGAAGTGGAGGGAGGTGGTGATGTATTATGGCAGCTGGGCTGTTGTGTATATTAAATGTTTTTTCTTTGTTTGTTACAGATGAGTAATGACTAAACCCTTGAGAAATTAACAACTGGAGCATGGAGACACTGCTGTTACAGGTATGTCTTTATGTCTGTGTTTTTCTCTATGCAGTATCTTTCTATATCTCAAATTTTCCAGGTATGTCTAACTGTCTATCTTTGTTTATCTGTATCTATATCTTTCTGTCAGTCTTTTAATGCCTGTATGTCAGTCAGTCTGTCTGTTTGGTATCTGTATCATCTGTCAGACTGTCTTTATCTATACAAGTATCTGTGGAAGGTGAGTATACAAGAGGTACAGTGAGTGAGGAAGGTGGGCACGCAAGAGGTACAGTGAATGAGGGTGGTGGGTATACAAGAGGTACAGTGAGTGTGAAAAGTGGGTACACATGAGGTGCAGTGGAGTGGATGGCAGAATGCAGGATGTTGCTGACTGTAAGTGTTGTGTCCACGGCAAGACTGAAGAAACAGAAACTCAACACTGAAAAATATCCCTGGACTGTGTGGATGAGTTCTGCAGCCTGGATGATGTGATCAGTGCTGGAGGGGGTGTTGAAGGCTGCTGAGTTGTGAGTCATGGGTGAGTTCTGCTGCCTGAGTGACATGATCAGTACTGGAAAGGGTGCTGAAGGCTACTGTGTTGTAAGTTATGGGTGAGTTCTGCTGCCTGAGTGACATGATCAGTACTGGAAAGGGTGCTGAAGGCTGCTGAGTTGTGAGTCATGGGTGAGTTCTGCTGCCTGAGTGACATGATCAGTACTGGAAAGGGTGCTGAAGGCTGCTGTGTTGTGAGTCATGGGTGAGTTCTGCTGCCTGGGTGACATGATCAGTGCTGGAGGGGGTGCTGAAGGCTACTGTGTTGTGAGTTATGGGTGAGTTCTGCTGCTTGAGTGACATGATCAGTGCTGGAGAGGGTGCTAAAGGCTGCTGTGTTGTGAGTCATGGTTGAGTTCTGCTGCCTGGGTGACATGATCAATGCTGGATAGGGTGCTGTTCATTTTCAAGAGTCATAAATGGCTGGAGGAAGTTTAGGGAACTCTTGTCTTTAATGTCAGCACGAGGACTTTCCCATCACATGAAAGGAAGAATGTTCAGTATACAACTGGTGTGAGAAGTGTGGTGTTATATATCTGTGAAACATGGGCAGTTAAAAAAGATGACATATGCAGTCTTGAGTGAGCTGAAATGAGAATGGCGAGGTGGATGTGTACTGTGACGCTGAAAGATGAGAATCACCGTTCAGAGCTAAGAGGACGGCTGGTTATTGAGAGTATCGGCCAAGATTTACGGATAAGTAGAACGAGATTGGGAGTGCGGGTAGAATGGATGAGACCAGCTGGGTTAAGTGGTGTATGATTCTAAATGTGGTGAGGAGGAGAGCCAGTGGTACGTGGCCAAGAATGACATGGGGAGAGATTGTAAGAAATGATCGTAGAACCTGACAAGACAGACTGCAATAGATGGTTTGGAAAATGGCTGTATGATTTGGATGGTGATGATGATTTTGTTCTATCTTTCTGTCTAACTTTCAGGCTATCTATCTATCTATCTATCTATCTATCTATCTATACTACTGTACTGTATTTCTCACCATATTAAAGGCAACCACAGATATAGCATGAAAGGTTTATAGTCTCAAGAAAGTTCACCTAAACTAAACTTTCATAAAAGGAACAAATATTTAAATGACAAAAATTGCAATGTGTTCCATAACCTGTATAGTACAGTTGACCCTCACCAACCGAGGATTTCCCATCCAGGGATTCCGGATATTCGTGGTTTTTACTCTACAAACCATTTTACACATCCACGGCATTGAATTTGGAGAAGTGTGGCGTCTTTATCCCCTTGCGGTCTAATGTATTCCTCCGTAAATGTGAGGAACGAATAAAAATAATAATAATAAATAAGAGGAAGGAAAAAATACTGCATGCCATTTGACAACTGTTTCACTGAAGATGTGGGAGACAGGCATGTGCTCCCCCCTCGTGGGCTGACTCCTGCCGACGTAATAAAAGTTTATTGTGTGTTTTTTTACCTTTTGATAATCATTTTTTGACTAAGTCTAAGAAAGCTTGTGTGTGCATGTAACTGCTAAAAAAGTGAATAAAACTACATATATCTACCCAAAACTACGAGTTGAAAAATAACAATAACACAGCTTGGCCTGGTGTATATGTATACAGTTACATATATATGATGTAGGGTGAATTATGGAGACATTTGTTAGGTTGAAAATATGTCTTATATGGTGGGAAATATGGTATATCTCTCTACATCTTTCTGTCCATCTGTCTACAGTATATCTCTTAAATGTACTGTAGACAGAACTACTGTACTAACCATGATAGACAGTTGACAATGCATGTGATTAATACCTGGAATACAAATATTTGCAGGAAAATGTCCAATATATTCAGCAACTAGACCACTTTAGAACCAAGAAAATATTGTTTATTGTTTTTATACCAAAACACTGGTGATTGTCTCTCAGATATTTCAGGAGTTGTATATCTTTAGTGATGCACCACTGTGTCCTGGGTTCATTCCCCAGCCTGGGACAGATGTTATCCTCACTACCAAATATGGCAAGTTTTCTCCAGGTACAATACTACAGTTTCCTCCCATTTATGCTACTGATGAATGAGTCTTGATCACACACAACTATAAGGTGGCCTTCTCTTGCCACTCCATCTTCCCTCTGGCCTTTATTGTGGAAAAGCCAAGAATTATTATTGTGTGAAGATGTAGTGGATCTCTGAGGTGAAAATGTTAAATATTTTGGTGTTAAGTCGGTGGTGTGAGTCTTGTACTGTGCAGGTCTGACCCAGCTGTTACAAACTACTGCAGGGAGTGAAGACCTTCCTTAAAAGGTTTAACCTGGCAGTATTCAGAAGGTCACAACACAGACGTCCTTAACAGCACTTGGTGTTTATAACAAAGCCATTTTTTATTACGTATACTTACTTTTGACCTTGATGATGTGGTTCAGCCATTATCAGATGCAGGTCAGGAACACTAAGGACTGTTCCTCTATAATGCTTCAAGGCTCCACGGGGCAAGTTGTTACCAGGTTTTATTTACAATTCACAATTATTACGTGGAATTATACATTTTCCACAATATATACTGAACTGTATACCTGTGTTGTCTATATACTGTACATGGTGAACTTTATACCTGCATTGTCTATATTGTTTTAGCTGTGGTAAGATACCAAACTATCTCACTTGTTAATACTTGCCTGAACGAGTGTAGGTTAGTCGCTGATACCTTTGATACAGCAGAGTGAGATATAGGGTCATCTCACGTCATGTCACCTTTGATACAGCTGAGTGAGATATCGGATCATCTCACGTCATGTCACCTTTGATACAGTCGTTGATAGTTTAAATTGTCACAGCTGTCCTGGGTTGTACTTGTAATTATCTTAGCTTGTAAGTTAAACAAGACACACAAGTAATGTTCTCTTCACTCGTTCCTTGGTTTAATGTAAACACATGTGCTGATTTAAGTTATATTGGGTAGTAATGTTTGTACAATTATTTAGTATTGACAGATTAATGAGCATTAGCTATTGGCTTGTAATAAGCTGATATATTTAGAGAGAGGTACAGCCCGTAGAGCTGGTGTCACGACACGACTTAAGGGCATCGTGTTGGGCTGTGAACTGGGCTGAACTCTCTTGAGTCTGGTGACTGGTGGTTGGAGAGTAACCACACTTCAACAGGTCATTAACTAAACAGCCTATCACACACTGAGGGTTGAGTCTGTAGTTTTATGGGCTGTACACCCTAGGAGGTGTGACATAACAAATGTTTATGGGCTGTACAGTGTACATCCTAGGAGGTGTGACAGAACAAATGTTTATGGGCTGTACACCCTAGGAGGTGTGACAGAACAAATGATTATGGGCTGTACACCCCAGGAGGTGTGACAGAACAAATGATTATGGGCTGTACACCCCAGGAGGTGTGACAACAAATGTTTATGGGCTGTACACCCCAGGAGGTGTGACAGAACAAATGATTATGGGCTGTACACCCCAGGAGGTGTGACAGAACAAATGTTTATGGGCTGTACACCCCAGGAGGTGTGACAGAACAAATGATTATGCGCTGTACACCCCAGGAGGTGTGACAGAACAAATGTTTATGGGCTGTACACCCGAGGAGGTGTGACAGAACAAATCCTTATGTAGCTGTATGCTCAATAGTCTGCATGACAGAATGTATATAATGAATATATGTCCTTAGCTCATATTTATATAATATTAATGTGACAGAGGCTAATACAATATACTGAACTGTATACCTATATTGTCCATATACATGGTGAACTGTATACCTATATTGGCTATATACATGCTGAACTGTATACCTACTTTGTCTATATGCAGGTTGAACCAATTGTAAACTTATATGATAAGTTTCTGAATAAATATATATCTATCTATCTAAAGTGGTCTAGTGTATGTAAATATTTTGAGCTTTTCCCTGATAATGTTGTTTCATCACAGGTGTTACTCTGTTGTAGTGTGAGCCAGTGTGAGGTGGAGGTCAATATTAAACTGAGGTGTTTAGCTGTGGCTCTGGAAGATTGACAATTTGTCTTATTTTAATTATAAACCAGAACACCTTTATTTCTCACTGTTTATCCAGGTATAATTTGGCTAAATTTATCTTTTAAATTTACCTGGACTTAGAATGCCATCACAATTTGATTTGAAATTAAAGAACAAAATTATATCCTTTTGTGTTTTTAAGGACTTTAGAATTAATATGATTTAGTGAGACTGTTGAACCGTTCAGGTACTTTACATATATTTACCATTTAGGTTAAACTAAACCGTAAATACATTTTATTGTTCATTAAGGAATTCTATAATTAGTTCTGTGTCATTTAATATTGCCTTAAAATCTGTGAGTGACTTAAGCGTCAATTATTCTGTTATAGTCATGCCAGTTAATGTTGTTTTAGGAGATACAGTTTATAATGTAGTGATCTCCGTTAAAACAAACTATTTTTATTGTCCAAATTTGTTGCGCTGGGTAAGGAGGGTGTGCATGGTGGGAAAGGCTTTTGAATAAGGAATACTGAAGGTGAAAGAACACTTGTGTTTGGGGATGTTATGTAACGTGTGTTTAAGAATAGGGCAAGTAGGCTGACCATGTAGGCCTAAGGCAGGTGGCACAGAAACCCAGATTGGCTACATTTTGGTCAGGAAATTAGAACAGGTTGCGTGCGTACGTACGTGTGTGTGTGTGTGTGTGTGTGTGTGTGTGTGTGTGTGCGTGTGTGTGTGTTACTTAAAGATGGAGGGAGAGGAAGAAGGTGGATGTTCCAAGAAGGAGAGTGTGGGAATTGTGAAGGAACTGAATGTAAAGGAATCATTTTCTTGTGAGTTGAGAGGCTAGGAAACAGCCAGTGAGGGGCAGTGTACCAAGACGCTGGGCCATAATGAAAGATGTTCCGTTGAGTGTGGTCGATGGCGGGAATGATGAAGTGGAGAGAGAGATAAAAAGAGAAAAAAAGATTGTGTGAGACGTGGAAGATGGTTGGCAACAGAGAGAAGTACAGTACCTGGAAGCTAAACTGAGATGGTTCAGGAGAGAAAGGAGGAAACTAACTGTGTCAAGAGATACAGGAGTTAGAGGCAGGCCATGAATGACATGAGGACAGGTTGTAAAGAAATGGTGCTGTTATAGTAACTGAACAGAAAACAAATGAATAATTGAACACAAAAAATTGAGAAATTGTCAAATAATGTCAAAATATTAAATATTCAGAACTCGGTTAATTTGTATTCTTAGTAATTCGGGTGACCCAGAGTCTCTTTTTGTCAACTGAATGAGGGTATAGTCTAGTTTGTGGTCCATTGAACTACTGAAAATACAAACTAACCGAGTTCCGAATATTTTGACATTATTTGACACTCTCATTTTGTGTTCAATTATTCATTTGTTTTCTGTTCAATTTGTTCAGATTGTTCCTCATTATACCAACCTACAACCATACTCAGTTACCAAGCCTTGACTGCCTTATAAAATACTCTATATATATAATTACTGTACAAACAAATATTTTTTAAGTGTACAAGCAGTAATAATAAAGTAAATAATACAGTAATAAATAAATGTAAGACTTACTGTGAGGTGAACTGATAATATGTAGATGATATTTAGAAAGTCTAATAGTATTGAGGATCAGGTCTTGGGTCCACTGCTGTGATCAAGAAGTTTAATCCCCAACCTACCTAACTCAGGAGACTGTTCCTTTGTTTTATGTGTTTCTCCCCAGTTTTGTTGTGTTAGTTGGAAGAAGAGGGACCTATAGTGTGTTTTTACCCAGCTGAGAAGAGATACGTAATTTGTGTCTTATTGTGGGTAGAAATAAGTATATATTAAAAGCATCCCCCGAAAGCGTCAATTTGCCACCAGAGTTTAACAGTTAATTCTTGTATAATATTTCTGATAAACTTTCTATGTGTTTAAGTTTGAAATAATTAATGTATGTATCTTTATATAATTTAGCTAAATATCTTTCTCGTCAGAAACGGTCATTATGAATAAACTCATTTAGAAATACATCATTACTTCAGGACGAAATCGACAGATTTGAAACAGCCAGTCAGCTGTAACTCTTGAGGAGGGGGTGGGGCATCTCTTCTCAGCTGATAAAAAATGCACTATAGTCAAACCAGCTCCAAAATTTCATCTTTTATTTCTCCAATGAGGGTTTTTACTTCATTTACCAGTGTGGCCATTACACTTATGTAATATATTCCACGATCTCACCTCACATTATTTATTACTGTATTATTTACTTTATTATTGAATGTACATTTTAAAACTATTTATATTTGCACAATAATTATAAATATAATATTGTATATGACAGCCAAGGCAACTTTTTGAACCACTCAGTTATTTTATATGCATTCCAAACACAAATCATTTAATTAATTTTTTGAAGCGTATTTAAGACTGGGTGAATTATAGCGATCTATTTACTTGGTTTTAGTGTTCATTAGATGTATATGTATCATGTAACAAATGTCAGAATTATTTTGATGATTCTGATTTTATTTTTATCTATTAAAGATTTGATAAACAGAAACAGTGTTTTTAAGTCAAAAATTCATCGTTTAAAATATTCTAAATCTGAAAGTTATTCTAAGTCCAAAAATTCATTGTTTAAAAATATTTTAAGTCCAAAAATTCATCGTTTGAAATATTTTTATGTCCAAAAATTCATCGTTTAAATATTCTATGTCCAAAAATTCATCGTTTAAAACATTTTAAGTCCATAAATTCACCGTTTAAAATATTCTAAGTAAAA